GTGGAGGAGGTTTTTTTAAAAAAAAATGTTAACGCTGGGTTTTCGTGGCGCGCTTGTCTGGGTTTTTCTCACCACTTTGACAGATGGATGCTATCGCTGCGGCGAAGGCGGCCATATAGCGCGCGAATGCCCGCTGCCCCAAGACAGTGAGAGATGGCGCCATTTGCACCGCACGCACTCAATTGCTGAAATGTTTATTGGTTTAAAATAAATAAAAAATATTCTATTTTAATGCAGCAGCTTGGTCACGAAGGGCCTCTCCCATCGGCTGTTTTTATCTCGTATATAAAAACCACTGGCGTTTTTTTATCACATGGCCACGCTGAGCCGTGGTGTGTGAATTTCAAAGGCTTTAAGGGCAATGTATTTGCTGCTAGAGATATTTATCCGATATAAATTTTTTCCATGTATAAATTCGCTCAAACCAAATGTTACGGATGTAAAATTGAACAATCGTAATGTTCTGCATGTTAATTTGAATGTGCGTGTTTTTTTCATGAGTCGTTTAAGGAAATGGAAAACATCGTGTGGACTCATAGTACTGTAGTACACGGAAATTAGGCTACTAGTCCAAAACGATAACATTTTAAACAAGAAGCTAATTTACGAGTTTCAAATGATAACATTGAAACAATACCCGTGTTAATTCATAAACAGTGACTTCAACATTCTTAGTTTTAGAAATCTGGTGCGTCTACTGTGGATAAATGGACTAATTTAACACAAATTATTAAACCTACAACATCTAGGGCCACTTAAATATCGAATCGGATTGACACTTGTAATTTTATAAGGCGTACCAAATGGTATCATTTACATTGGCCGATGCATAAATTAAGCAGCTATTTTACCCAATTTGTGTACCCATGTTGCACACGCAACTGATTTTTTTAAAGTAACGGAGCAATCGCCACAGCAGTGCGAATGACGACCATTCTCCCAAAATAAATAGAAATCTCTTCAATTTCCGACAAACGCTGGAGAGGGTGACATGAGAGGCGTCCCTACCCACCTTTGCACTGAATTGACCTGAATGAGTGTGGTTTTCGTGTGTATGTGTCTCTTCAAACACCGCAGCATGCTACAACTGTGGCAAGGGGGGCCACATCGCGCGCGAGTGCCCCGAGGGCCGGCAGGACCGCGGCGGCGGACCCAGCTGCTACACGTGTGGCAAGCAGGGCCATCTGGCCCGTGAGTGCAGCAGTGGCGGCGGTGGACCCGGGGACAACAAGTGCTACGGGTGCGGCCAGCGCGGCCACATGCAGCGCGACTGCACCAAGGCCAGCAGATAGAGGGAGACAGGTGAGAAGAGCTGAGTGCCTGTGGGTTTGGTGGGCTGGGTGTGGGTGGAATGCAATTTTCCTGGGGTGGTGAATAACCATTGATTTTGTGAATGGAGCGGTTAAAATGAGGCAGTTTTCTAATTAACGTGTTAGCTGCAGTGGGTTTGTTAATAGGGTGTAGCCCCCATGATATGCATGTCACACTCTCGTATAAACTTGTTAAAAATTAAACGTTTAGTGCCTATCCATGAACGAGTGTAGATGTGTTTTCAGGGCTAAATCTGCTGCTGTGCTTGACCTCCATGTTTGGTTGTAGATTTGGCCCTTGCAGATGGGCCTAGGATTAATAGTTCCCAACAATTGATTTGTGGTTAACGTTTGACACATGCGTGGTCTATCCATTTAAGCGACTTGGACCAAATGTATCTTTGTTTTAAGCCTTATTTTCACATACTGGTCTATGTATGCATTTGACATCCTGGGACCTACAGACTGGGATATCCATGTTTTAGGAACTGGACTGAGTTTCATTTGCAAAATGATGGAAACTCATTTGCACTTATGGGAAGATGAGAGAGAATACTATTTTATGCTATCAACAAATGTGGTTTTTCTCCCAATTCTCAAAACTAGTTCCACACCCTGGCTTACAGGAAAGGATCGAGTTGAAAATCCCGACTTTGGTAATTTGGTTAAGTCCCCTCGGCTGAGACTCGGTTGAATACCTTTAAGGTTGTCAATGGGTCCAGTGTCGACTTACATTTTCAGGTGGGGGGGGGGGGCATCCTTTGGGCCATCTGTGGGTTCCCAGGAGGCATTTCCTCCTGCACTAATAAATTATCATTTGAAAGTTTATGCAAGGGTGGCCCTTTGGCAACGAAACAAACATGATACTTGTACAAAGATGTAATTTGACCAACAAAATCCCTTGATTTACACTTGGAAGCTATCGTGTGAATAAAATGCCTCGTGTTCAGACGACTCTCCAACTGACGGTCTTTCCCGTGTCTGTCTGCAGGTGGATGCTTGCCAGGGAAGCAATGAAGGACGCATTTGAGTGCAGCCACTCGCTGGCTGCCATCGTCCCAACGTGCTCGCTGCATGCCCACACCCCCCCTCTCAAAGGCAGACATCGCTTGGCCCCATCCAAATCACCGAAAAATATTTTTCTTGTTTTACTTTTTGATGTTTCCCGTTAAAAAAAAACAAATTGTGTTAATTTCTTTTGGTTTATTTTTCTCCGCTAAATGTTTAGTGCTCTCACCAGTGTAGATTGAGAAACTTTGTTGCATTGGGTTACCATAAGTGGAAGGCAAAAGGGGAAAAAGAAACCCACTGCCATAGAAATCTTGATTGCATGTAAATCAGGCCTGCCCTGGAATTTGATTCCCATCCTGAGGGGGTGTTACACAATTTAGATTTCCCCCGCTTCGTGTAGGACTCGTCTTGGGGGGGTGGTTATTCCATGTTTGTCCAGTAATGGTGCATTGTTGAGACAAGAGGCATTGGGTTCCAGGGTTATGTATTGGCTTCGTTAACGTGCAACATTGGTTTCTGTGCTTGTTTGGGGGGGGGGGAGGGGAGGTGTTTTCTTTAGGCACCACAGCCAGCTGCCCCGGCTTGAGTTTAAAAAGAGAAAAACCTTTGTCTCGTGAGCTGCTCACAACTGTGTTAAAAACAAATGACTCAACAGTTTGAACAGCACGTAGGTGTTGTTGGGATTTGTTTTTAAAATATGTTGTTGTGGTTTCCTGCATACTAATAAAAAGTTTAATATGAAATGCTTTGTAAACGTGTTCTTCTCAAAGGGGTAGCTCACCTGGAAATGGCCTATTTGTGACATTCATTTCCAGTACACTTAAAAATAGATCGAATTCCCTGGTGGTACATGGACTTGCCTGCTGATATTTGCAAGGTTCGAGGAAAAAAATAATTGCTCCGTTTCCAGGGTGGCGAGTACTTTTAAATATTGGTAAGGGCAGTGTCTGAAGGTTGGCAAATTTAAACCCTGATCAATGGCTGCTTGGAAATATTGCACTCAAAGCAATAACTAGGGTGGCCACTGGATCAGAACCGTGAACTTCTACAACAAGTACAAAGTATAAACATTTTACTTTTGAAGGCACGCAAGTTGACCAAGTGGTTTGACATTTAAATAACCAAACCTTTCATAACCCGCCACCTAATGGTTCCCCCCCATTCAACCATAAATGGCAAAATCCGAAGGCATCCATTCACTCAATGTAGAAACTGCACCACCTAAAAGATATCCATTACAGGATGCTGGATTTCTGGAACGGACAGAATCGGCCACTTACCAGAGCAAGGGATTGCGTTGAGTATTGAAAAAGAAGCCTTTGTACTTGTTCGTGGATGTTGCATGGAACGTTGAAATTGTGGAAAGTAACTTGGAACTGTAGAATAGTACAATTCATGTCTAGATTATAAGCACCCAAAACTTGTGACGATCAATAAAGATGTACAATTCTGCTTAAACACGCCTACCAACTTTTTCAAATACATGGGAGAGTGAGCATACGGTTGTACGGTTTATGAAAACCAGAAGCGACGGTTGCAATGGGTGTGAAACATGGCAGGTTATTAAAGGAAGACGGGCATTAGAATTTCACGGTTATCAATGGGCAGTCAGTGAAGCTGGTGGAGACGTCTGAGCAGCTTTTAGTGGTTCGGTTAACTGCTGGTAGAGGTGATGGCGAGGTGTGAACTTCTTTCGCCCAACGCTCGTGTAAAGGTAAGCAACCCAGATAATTGCTGGTGAAAGGGACCCGTGTAGTGAGGACTTTCACTAATGGGAGCATGACTGCTGAGTGAAAAACGTTCCAGTGCAATATGCAGAATGGAGTTGACTGATCAGTATATAGACTTACAACGTTGGGTTAATGAAGGCGGTGAGTTTTTATTTGTGCTTGTACATCACTGCCCCATGGCAGTCCCTCATTTTACTTAATCGGACACATGAACGTGATCATCAATTATTTGTGAACTCCGAGCATCTTTAAGTAGGCACGTAAAAATTCATCAATTTACACTGATATTGTGCTCATGACAAGGAATGAGATACACGTGTAAGAGTTCTTTACAATTGATGGTAATTACACAAATATTTGTTTTGCTCCTGGGTAGTAAGTGTTATTTCCTAATTGCTTATGCCTAAAAAGTATAAACATGGCTTATGGGAATAAGCCATTTTTTAATACTCTTTAGGTATAAGCAATTACGAAATAACACTACCCAGGAACAAAAATTGTGTTACAGTGTTATAGATGTAAATGTTGCATTTAAACTAATGTAACAAGGTAGACCAAACCAGATGGTACAAGCCCTGCAAATGCATGCTCATGCCACTGCTGGAGTAAGGGCTTCCACTGGAGAATTTGACAGCCACTCTAAGAGGGTATTTTGGTTCACGCTGGATAATTTTATCTTGGACAAATCGGCGGACTGTGGCCTCTACCCATTTATACTGCTGGGTGGCCCAAGACGCCGAATTTAAACACATTCCTGTGGAGGGAGCTGGTAGGAACGTTGGGTTGCTCGGTCAATGGCCAGGGTCAACGGCGGCGTGGTGTATTCCGCAAATATGGCCGACTGAGGGCGGGCACAAGTCAGCGTGAGTAGGTTAAACGTTGAGTTTTATAAGGGCACCACGGGGTGACCAGCACCACCCATCCCCACCCCCCACCCTCCCCACCCTCCCCTCTCCACCCAGCCCCACCCCTCCCATTTTTGGATGCACGACGGACGGACGGAGAGAATAATCCCCTGTGGGCTGGTGTAACCAGGAGGTTCCTACCAGTATAAACTTGCCCGATTGTTGCTTCAAGCGCTGTGGCACGAAATGGAATTTAACCGGCGACCTCATTGATTTCAAGTTCAGTGTTGCTCACCATTACACCACGGCAACAGCACAGTAACAACACAACACTTGCTTCTCCGATCAAATCGTGACCGCGCATCTTGAAATTGCTGCCAATCATGGGGTTGCAGTGGGAGGGGGGGGGCATATCATTACATGCCTGCTCAAAATGCGGTTTAGCTTCCAAAAAATTTGTGAAACTGCCTCTCCGTTAAAATGTCCGGGGTGAGCAGTCTGTTGATTTGGCACGGCTTACGCCAATGCTCTTTACATTGCAGTGTCTGCTTATAATAAAGGCGCTCTATGCACAAATACGCCAAATTATGCTCAGCAGTGCCATGGCTAAGCCAGCTTAGTGAAAACAATCCCAAGCGACGCAACAACATCCATTTGGAAATTGAGTTCTCGCTCAATTTGGCAGAAACAGCCCGCTGGCCGGGGTCTGGCCTGTCAAAACTGTCACGAGCGTTGTGGTGACGCAGGCCACGACACCACCACTCGAATCCCAATTAGAATCTAACGCCGAGACGGTTGGGAGTTGTTTTTTTTTGGTAGAGCACTCCATTCGCACGCAGCTCATCAGCATACAAAATTCGACACGGGCCCTCTTTAAAGGGACACGACTACCCACCCCACATTAAGGTGCTGTTGAGCTGCTGAAAGACAATTTATTATTATTAAAGCCAACATCTGTCAGCTGCTGAATGCCAAAATGTCAACATGCCTCGCACTCCCTTTACCCCCCCCCCCCCGTGCCTGCGGCTCCACGATCAAAAAAAAACTGTCGCAGCCACGTTTTGGTTTTTTAAATAAGGCGACATTGGGTGGCGGAGACGCGCAACGAGGTTTGCAAAAAAAGACAGCGCCGTGACGTGACGCTCCGACCACGTGGCAAAGCGACGAACGGCGCTTGCGTTGTACATCTATCATTTTAATGCTTGGCAACAAAACTGGGTCAGGCGCCAGAAGCTTGGCAAATGGTTCCAACTGAAATCGGCGGACCCGAAATCCCTGCCTTCCATGCCCTGATATGTGTAGATTGCTTCCGAAAAGAAGCAATGTGTAACTCACCAACATTAAATTCAAGTGCTGTGTTGAATGATCGAAGGGTTTTTTTAAACTACGATTTGTTTGGGGACACGGACAGCATGGAGGGGGAGTGAAGTCCCTTAACAAAAAAATCCCAGAAACTCTGGCCAAGCTTCAGGCACAAACCTGACCCCGACCTCACCACCTTTCAGTGCAACAACACGAGACTGAAATCGGCTTTTTCATTCACGTCAGCTTCTCGTCGCACACAGCCGCCTACACATTCTAACACGAAACAGCATCGCACTAGGTTTGTGCCTAGCCCAGAATATAACCCTATGCCCGCCCCTGAACTTGGCAAGACTGGGCCAGTTGTGGCCGGAGTCTAACCATGGCCCCCCTGACAGTGATCTTAGCTGCTTGTCGAAGGATAAAAGGCAGGATCCTTAATGCTCTCGTCGTGAATACGAATCGGTGGCCAAAAGTGAAGCCCACACGCTGTATCATTTTAACCAGAGAAAGCTCACCTCGCACAGTGACTGCCCAGCACATGTTTGCAAGCCGCCAGCAACAGAGCCATTATCTCTAGATGAGTGACCACTAGCAGCAACTGGCAGGGGCTGGGAACCGTTCGTCCTCTATCACAGCGGTAAAGGCGCAGCTGTGCAATTGCTTTCTCATGGTCACCGCTGGCAGCTCTAGAGCGCCCCCTCTAGAAGATGTTTTTGGTCTACTCTTCCACGCTGGAAGAGGTGGGAGCACACCCACCACACGTGACCTTACCGATCAACTGCGATGAACCCGTTGGAGAGAATGTTGGGGCGGACGGAGGGGGTGCAGATTTAATAAACTCGCCCACCGTTTCAACTGCCACGCCAGGAGATTTAATCGAACCGGCGATTTCTGGATTGCAAATCCAGCGTGATATCCATGGGTTTTGCTTAAATCCCAAATTGAGATGGCGATGCGCTGCTTCACATGACCAAGTCAGACAAATCAACGTAAAATGTATCTGCAACATATCTGTTTTGCGGTTTGCGACGCATTTTAAGATGCACGGTTTGTCGCTTCGTTTTTGCTGCATTATTGCTGAAAAGCTTACAAAAATAACCGCTCATGTTCACCTTTAATATATACCTTTACAAGGCCATCTTATTCAAGAGTGAAACTAAAACCCTAAATGATATGTAAAAGCTTAAATATTTACAGCATTTATTCCATAATTATTCAATCACTTAAGTTCTTTTAAACGTTCATATTTACTTTCAAACAAATTACTCTCAAAGGATTTTGTTGCTTGATTATTTTTTTTAAACACGCAAAAAGCTTAAGCGCAGGGCCAGAGCCGATTATCTTTTCTACCTGCATTAAGTCGGCACCAGCTTCCCCATACGCTAATGCTCATTTAATTTGTACACATGCCCACCTATACAACCACGAGTACCGTTGTACCAAGGAACACACGCAGAAAGGGACACAGAAAAATCTAAGAAATGTCAGCTCCCCGTTGTACAAAATAAGAAAAAAAATGATTTTTTGGGTGATGCGGTCTTCTACCAAGACACAGTTGACCACTCCCCTCCGTTTCCTTTTGTTTTTAGAAAAGGTTGAACACATCATAAGTTAAGCCCCTCCTACGGCAGCACGGGGGAAATCCCGTTAAAATGGCCGCAGTATCGCAAATCCCAGGAGCAACCGGTGCGCCAATCGCGCGGCGGCAGCAACGCTCTCGCAGAATTCTTTTGTTTACATTTTTCTTGCACTGCCGCAATTTTGACCGTCACCTACTGCCATCTCTCTTAACCTTTAATCACTTAATGTCTTACCATCCCACTCCACGGTAAGCACACCTCAGGCAGCCAGCTAACCTTGCGTGGAATTAAAGCACCGATTGTGGATAAAGGGGTCAACGAGAACGGGAGGCACGGGGTTGCAGGCATCTTTGGAAAGGGTTGTGTACGAGCATTGTGTGTCCGTGCCTCCCCGCGCACAGGTGCGTTGAGCCGAAGGGAGAACGCGAGCGAGGTTGCTTGTTAAGACACGCGACAGTAAGAAGATGGAGACAGTGGCATACACAGCCTCAGGGCCTCTTCCTCCCCTTACACTTAACCAGTCCCTTCTCCATCGCGCGCGGTATCGCACACCCACCTCTATATATACACCACGCAAAGCAAATTAATTACATTGGCCGACGGGTGAACGTGAGAAACGTTGATCGTGATGTTATGCGTATAATATATACTAATTATTAATTTCAAAATAATAATAAGTCACAATAATTTATAATCCACCTACGCATCCTGCAGATTTCATGAATGTGCCTATATGCAGTAAGGGAGTGCGGGGAGGTTAGGGAAATATTTAAAAAGATTTAGTTCAGATAAACACATACTTAAGGCTAGGGGGCTTGCCCTGTTTTGACAGTGATGCCACGCACAGCAGTGTAAAGCCAACATTCGTGCCCTGGAGCCGAGGTCTAGTGACCCAACACCAATGCCAGAGGCCAAGAGGCAATGCTAATGGACTAAAGGTGATGCTGGTAGCCACGTAATACTTGCAATTCAATGCCAGCGGCCTAAAGGAAATTTTCTAGGGACCAATGCTAGCTGCCTAACATGTGTTAATAGCCTACAATAGCACGAGTGTCCTGAAAGCAATACCAGAAGTTCCATGCCAATGCTAGCAATCCAGCAAGAACAGTAGCCTATCGCCAGAGGGATAATGCCAACGCTCATGTGCCAGCATCAGGGGGACTAACGCCAATGCTAGAGGACCAAAGGGAATATTCACACGAGGGTACAGTCAAACCGGACACACACGCATAACAAACACACTTGCACGCACACTGCAGCACAACAGAGAGAGCGCGCGTGATAGTGCGCGCACATGCACGAACACACAAGACGTGCAACAGACACACGTGCACACACGCAGAGAGTGGAGCCAAGCGTGTTTTCGAGAGGCTCCAGGCTGAGCTTGCTTGTGTGTGTGTGAGAAACACCACACACGTGTGATGGGCAGAGAGAGGAGCCGAGATTGGATCCAGGCTGCACGGCTAGTCCTGTGTGTGTTTGGGGGCAACGCACACGCGCACAAGTGGAGCCAAGCGCGGAGCCGAGCGCGGAGCCTAGCGCGCGTGGGCATGGGCGTGGGTCCCTGTCTCTAAGCACGAGTGGTGATGAGGAACTTGGGCGAGTTGGAGGCATAAAGCCGGGCCTCGTCTGGCTGGATGCCGACACGGTGCAGCGACGGCTCCGAGGCGCTGCGGTGAATTTTGGGCAGGGACTTCTCCAGCAGCTCGATGGACGACAGGATCTGCACGGGTGGATAGCACACACGCGCGTGCAAACACGCGTGAGCAAAACGCGCACACGGAAAAGCAGACGCGTGTTGCTACGTGCTTGTACGCTTGCACATACACGCACAAATGCAAGAGCATAAGTACACACATGGACGTGCACAAACACATTAATACAAATGTGCAGTGTTCACGTCGCCCCGAGATGCCTGTATCAGTCTTAGTTTCCTTAAATGCCACCCACCACCCCCGCCCCCAACTCTGCCAAGTCTATACATGCTATAAATCAATGTGTAAATTGTTTCGGTTCATTTTACATTGTATTAATCGGTTTGAGATTGTGTTTATTTATTATGCGGTTTTTTATGAGACAAAAGAAAGGAAACGACAAAATAATCGGCAAATGTAATGGTACAGTGACTCCAATGTTGGACAATCTAATCCCTTGGTGGAGGGGGCAGGAGGGGGATGAATCATTGCCTGCCCATCTGTACGAGGCGGGTTCATTTATGACACAACACGCTCCGTGTCGCCGGAGAGAGGTGGTAATGAGGGGCAGTAATGAGGGAGGGCAGTAGTCAGGGGCGTGTTGAGGGACGCTGGTGAGAGGCGTTGGCGAGAGGTGGTAATGAGGGGCAGTAGTGAGGGCCAGTGACGAGGGGTGGTAGTGAGGGGCGGTGGTGAGGGGCGGTGGTGAGGGGCGGTGGTGAGGGGCGGTGGTGAGGGGCGGTGGTGGGGTGGGGGGGCGGTGGTGAGGGGCGGTGGTGAGGGGCGGTGGTGAGGGGCGGTGGTGAGGGGCGGTGGTGAGGGGCGGTGGTGAGGGGCGGTGGTGAGGGGCGGTGGTGAGGGGCGGTGGTGAGGGGCGGTGGTGAGGGGCGGTGGTGAGGGGCGGTGGTGAGGGGCGGTGGTGAGGGGCGGTGGTGAGGGGCGGTGGTGGGGGGCGGTGGTGGGGGGCGGTGGTGAGGGGCGGTGGTGAGGGGCGGTGGTGAGGGGCCGTGGTGAGGGGCCGTGGTGAGGGGCGGTGGTGAGGGGCGGTGGTGAGGGGCGGTGGTGAGGGGCGGTGGTGAGGGGCGGTAGTGAGGGGCGGTAGTGAGGGGCGGTAGTGAGGGGCGGTAGTGAGGGGCGGTAGTGAGGGGCGGTAGTGAGGGGCAATGGTGAGGAGCGGTGGTGGGAACGGGAGACCCGACCTGTGGAAAGAGTGGCCGTTCCTCCCTCTTCTTCTTGATACAGTCGACAATGAGGCGTTTCATCGCTCTGGGGCAGTTCCCGTACGTCTCGCCCAGGTCGGGGGACAGGTAGCCCCGGCCCACCATGAAGATGATCTGAAACATATGCAAACACGCACGTGCGGGCACACGCTCATTTCAGGAAAGAAATCGGTGCAAAAGGAACGTACAGTTTCAAGATGACACTTGAATGAGCTCCAACAGAAAAAAAGACGAATATAACGTCATCTAAACACGATTAAGGAAAATAACTACGAATTCAACACATTTTCCAATTACTTCGGATTAAAAATAACATTCTAAATATTAGGTGGCGTTTCAGGCAATGGCCCTTAATCTGTAACATTTATTCATGTGGTCAAAAGCCCTCTCCGGCCTGAGTGCAGAGAAGAAGGGAATTCTGTGTAAGCAGGTCCGAGGGGACATGGGTGGCAGGGGCAGGCACTCCGTGTCGTCTCAAAGCGCTCTATGTGCTACGGGCTCCCTTGCCCGCAGGGGAATACGTAATGTTATGAATAATACGTTTCCTTGCAGGCAGCGACCAATATAAACCCGCGAGGCAAGCGCACACTTGGTGCAAAACACACACGGACGAGCACAACGAAGGGGGGGCCAAAGCGTGAAGGGGGAGCAGCCATGGGAAAAACAGTGGGAAGAGCAACTGCAAAGGGATGAACGGAACATGAGAGACAGCTACCTGATGGACAACCGACACGTGAAGAGCAGTTGACCGATAGACGAGTGCAAACCGAGTGATGGGCGAGTGACGGATGAGCGATGGAGAGATGAGTGGCACACGGGTGATAATCAACCGATGGCCAGGCAAAAGGTGATTGACAAATGGGTGATGTGACTACGAGCGAGGGGTAACACGATGGTCAAGGAATGAGAAAAGAGTGACACAAGTGGCTGATGAGAGATAGGCAAGTGACTGATGAGTGATGTGGAGGATGATAGACACTTGTGACTAGCGAGTGATGGTAGGCAAGTGACAAGAGGAACGAGGGGGAATGAGTGGCACACGTGTGACACGTGTCTTGGGCAGGCGACGAATAAGCGGGGCGCAAACACTTCAACTGGCAAGCACGAGCAACATCAAGTGCAACGGATGAGCGATGGATTCACGTAGGCCAAAGCAATCAGTTATTGAGCAAAGGGCGGGCGAGGGCGGCGGCACCTGGTCGCGGTTGCTGATGTTGGAGTACGGTAGTCGCCCCGTCATGAGCTCGAACAGGACGATGCCAAAGCCGTAGACGTCAGACTGGAACGTGTAAGGATTGTCCTCCATGCGTATTACCTCCGGCGCCTGCCCGCACACACGCGCATGCACACACAAACTGAGGTTTATAAAAAATGAAAGGAGACGATGGGAGCGAATTCCAGATAAATATCAGTGTGACGGAAGTAAAGTGTAGTGACCTGCAGTGTGGTGAATGGGTGAGTATGTGTGTGGGTGGGTGTGGGAAGCGGTAGTGTAGCGGTTAGCGCGCTGTGCTACAAACCCAGCGACCCGAGTTCAATTCCCGCTCAAGGCTACTAACACCAGTGACGATTATCTGAACCGGTCCTGGGCCTCCCCCTAGGTCGACTCAGCCTCGAATTAGTACCTGGTGCGATGTAAACATCACTACTTGGGAGACAAAGGGGGCCAGACATGATGTTGGCCACCCACCCCTTCGTGTGCCGTGCCGGCCTTCATAGGTGCTCGCTAACAGCCCTTGCAGTCAATTAAGGCTGCACGGGGGATCTTTGTCTTTGGGTGGGTGGGTCAGTAGTTGGTTGTGTTGTTGTGACCTGCAGTGTCGTGGGGTTTGAACAGTGTGGACGAAACGAAACAGTCAATTTGGAAGACCAAGTCCTCAACACGGATGGCACAATGAATGAGTTAAGTTAACAGGAACAGTGGCCATAGTAGTAACGAAAGAAGAGTGACAAAGGACGCCACTGACCGCTGGTGAGCGAGTGAATCGAGTGAGTCACCGAGTGTTGAATCATCGATCAATCACAAGAACTTCGATAATGGCACGCACATGTGCGGTACAGCCCTTTGTCAATCAACTGCTGGATGAGGGCCTCTGCACACCATGCGGGTCGTAACGGACTGACCGCACTTCACCACGCCAGCCAGTGCGAGTCATTAAAGGTATGCAGCGTAGACATGGGAGCACAGAATTGCACCACAAATGGATTAGTGGAACGAGGTGAGAGAGATGATGAGAGAGGTAAGGGAGGTGAGGCAGATGAGGGTGCGGGGGGGGGGGAGCCGCACCATCCAGAGGATGGAGCCGGACGGCTGCTCCAGCTGGTGGGAGCCGCTCCAGCGCGACTTGACGGTAGCCAGGCCAAAATCACCGATCTTCACCGTCAGTGCCTCGTGCAGGAAGATGTCTGACGCGCTCGTGTCAAGGCAAGACAGCCGGCGGAACGGGCGCGAGGGCAACCGAGACGCAGCCGCCAAAGACAAAAGGTGACAGAACCAAGACAAAAAAAAAAGCAAAGCATCGTCACCAATATCATCATTAACCATTCCACCGCTGCACATAGGCCTGCCCATGTTGTCACCATCGTGCATGAGCCCGCGATCCACCCAACACCTGAACACAATATAATTTCACCGTTCCATCTACACGTTGGACGTCCTTCCGGGAATGTTCCATCACTTGTCTGCCTGTCCAGCTCTCTAGGCTTCTTTGTGCACTTTTCAGTTTTAGTTCAAATTTATTTTGTCATATCCACATATCTGATCCATCAAGCCATTCGTTTAAAACCTTTTCTTTAAGGCACAATCATGATCATCATTATCATCGTCGTCAAATTAATCTCCTCTCAGTGAACACACTTAAGAAGGTTATGCTTTAAGACATGTTTCCGTCAACTGCAAATTATATGGAATTATGATTCTGTCAAAAACTACAATAAAAACAACCACCAGCACAAACAATAACTATTACAAAACAACTACCGGCACAAAGACAACAGCTGGCACCGCCAGAAACAATCGGAGACCCAACCACGGGCGGTGAAAATGAACAACAACGAGCCGCAGGGACGGCCGTGGCAGCCATGGCAGCATCAATGAGTCCCAGGGCACCCTCAGGGAGCTGGGGAAACATTACCAAAAAGAACAACAAGGCAGTGGCTTGCATAGAGGATACTGTTGGACTTGAGGTCTCGATGGATGATATTCTTGGCGTGCAGGTAGCTGTCGTCGAGAGGGGATAAAATATAAAAGGTCAAAAGTCAGCAGCATCCCGCAGCTTTGACGAACAATACAATGTGAAACGTGGAAAATTACTGCTGCGGCCGTCAAATGGTATTGGTGCAGGGGCCCAGGGGGCACAGCAATGGGGCTGTTAATAGGTACGACATGACAGGGCACGAGCCAGAAGGGATGGATAAGGGTGGGGTTAGGGTTGCTTACGGAACCAAGTGGGGCTCCAGTACTATTTTTCAAAAGAGCAGTGTTTTGTGCTCAAGTGGCCACATCCCTATTAAGGCATGTAAAATTATTCTTCAACTCGCATCGATTACAACCGAGCCTTCTGCTCACTGTCCCGAACACATGACACTACTAATAACTAACATGCAACGATGATAATTCATCGCTCACCCCAAATTGTTACATTAAATTCGACCAAAACCTTCTATTGCTCAATTCATAATGCTCAAGACATAACTCTGAACTCACTTCAGTATGTCACCCTAAACAAAGCTCCTATGACCTAAAACTTAATCCCTTACCAGACATAATCCCTGGGATTATACTGGTAGGAACCTCCTGGTTACACCAGCCCACAGGGGATTATTGTGTCCGTCCGTCGTGCATCCAAAAATGGGAGGGGTGGGGCTGGGTGGAGAGGGGAGGGTGGGGAGGGGCTGGGTGGGGAGAGTGGGGAGGGGAGGGTGGGGCTGGGTGGGGAGGGGCTGGTCACCCCGTGGTGCCCTTATAAAACTCAACGTTTAACCTATTCACGCCGGCTTGTGCCCACCCTCACAGTCGGGCATATTTGCGGAATACACCACGCCGCCGTTGACCTTGGCCATTGACCGAGCAACCCAACGTTCCTACCAGCTCCCTCCGCAAGAATGTGTTTTACCACAAACGGCCCGATCTACATGTTGCTGTCAAATGTCGCTTTTCGTCCAAACTTAAGTATAAAAAATATAATTCACCAATGTCTCTATCAATGACAAGGGAATAGCCAAGGCGCTTTGTTTGAACAATTTTGTCGAGATCTGAACTTGGCCAATAAAATTTTATTTTTGGAAATCCTAAATGTCAACGACAGTCGACAGGCAATATGTTTTCACTAGAGGGCGCTGACAGCAGCGTGAGGTGGCGCAATGAACAACAGAGACGAAGGCGGCCAAGTCTAGAAAAAAGTCGAACGTGGCAAAGCAGAGGAGGGGCAGGCAGATTGGGGGGAAGAGCACAATCGCCATTCAACATCAAGCCCTACCCCTAACAAACCCACCAACCAGGAAATACAAATAGCTCTTGCCAACCAGACACTAGAATTAGCAAAGAACTATTACTACCAAGCCTACATGTAACCAACTCGTACCAGGCCTCTCACTGACCCTCACTCTACACACAACTAGCCAACTAGGCACTTATACTCCTGCTAACCCTGTGTAGGCGAGCGTGTGTGCATACATGAGCGTGTGCTCGTGTGTGTACGTGCGAGTGACAGTGTACACACATGTGCGTGCGCATGCGCCAATGCACGTGTTTGCACGTGTTGCCGTGTGTACATTTGGCGTTAGCGTGTGCGCGCACGCACGTCCACCTATGTATATCTTCGTTCCTTGGTTTTCTTTCGTTCGATTGTTTGCCTGCTGGCATGTTCATTGACACACACGTGTGTGTGTGCCCGTGTATTTGTGCATGCGTGCTCACTCCATGCCCTGCGCCGTCTGCTTGCCGATGTCGATGAGCTGGTACATCTCGAACTTGGTGTCGGCCACGTGCAGGTGGCGGTAGAGGCTGGAGCCCTCGCACCACTGCGTGATGATGGCGAGGCGCGGCTGCGTCATGTAGCCCATGAACAGCAGGATGTTCACGTGCCGCGTCTTCCTGCGGGGCCAGCAAACACACCCACGAGGAGAGGAGTGAGATAGAGGTGAGTGTAGGGCATGGCGAGTGCAGGGGAAGAGCGAGGGAGCGAAAAAGGGAGAGTGAGGAAAAGTGTAGGTGAGTTGAGGAGAGTGAGAGACAGTTGAGAGGAGCGGGGGAGGGGGGGAGTGTGAGCGATGGTGAAAAAGCGAGGAAGGGCATTGGAAATTATAGAGGATGAAGAAGAGTCAGGGAGAATGAGGGAGCATTGCAGACGTGGGGGAAGTGCAGCAAAGCACAAGGAGGCATCGTTAAACATGAGAAATTAAAAGGGAGCATGTGGGGAAGCTCAGGATACCAATTGGAAGAATGAGAACAATGGATCAATGCCCGACCCTGTCTGCTCATGCCGACTTGATGACTTGAGGAGATTGAGTGCACCAGACGTGTGAAGGAAATGGTAAGGGCAGAGGAGGGCAGCAAATGGCAGGGCAGGGCAGCAACGGCGCTCACCTCAGCACAGCCACCTCGTTCTTGAAGGCCTCGAGCTGCTGCGGCGTGGGCCCCGTCACCTTCAGAATCTTCACGGCCACGTCGCCTTCGCCATCGCACGCAACATCGATGTTTACGACATCAACGTCTGACACCGTCGCACTCGAGTAGCAGCGACGCATTAAAAACTACCGCAGTATTTTGATTTAAAGCTTTCGTGACTGCAGGGATTCATATTCTTGGTTCTTTCGGTAAAGTCACGTAGAAGGGAAATAATAAAATAATACAAATATAAAACAATACAATTCTCACGACGTTTCGACTGCAACACAAGCAATCATCATCACACCAATAATCATCACACCTGATGATGATTGCTTGTGTTGCAGTCAAAACGTCGTGAGAATTTAATTGTTTTATATTTTTATTATTTTATTATTTCCCTTCTATGTGACTTTACCGAAAGAACCAATAATATGACTACTGCAGTGTCGCCGTAACCATATGTTGCACAGCTCTCTATTTTTTCCCCAAATTTATGTACGTATGTTGAGCTCCTTTCGCACCGTACGTAGCCAACTGTGCTCATCGGAGATGTGGGGGAAGGACAAAAAAACTAAAAACAAAAAGCAGTTCTAAAGAAATAGTTTTCAACCTAAATTTATCTAAATTGTACTACTGGCATCCTCTCATGAAACAAGGAATCCATTGAGAAATCTTGCCAAGCAATGCAGCTCTTCTGTTGGAGGACGGTCTACTGAAGCAAATATCAGAGCCAGCTCTGTGATCCTATCAAGTGACCCCTGAGTTATGCAATAGGGGGCAGCCCTTCCCCATCAACTGTGCAATACGTTGTCTTGTGAAACGGTGCAGAATGCTTTAGCATCGACAGGCTTTACGTGGAAAGAGCTAAGTGATGGGTCAAGACTGTGGACAAGAGGAAGCATTTGGGTTACTTGATGTGTCAGTGACACGAGGCAGATTAAGTAAGGATGGCTTACCATGGGTCAGCACCCACATTTAATGAAGGAAAACAGCTTATTTGGTTGCATCTTCCTTTAAAAAAAACATCTCTTTGTATAACCTTGTGCTAAGAATGCTCTGTGATGAAAAGAGAGTTCCCCTTTGGCCAAATTTCCACAGGGCGGCGACTGGCAAGGATGATGAAGTCACGGGCTGTAGCAGCATTGGGCCAGCTGGAACGTACCGTGCCACTTGCCCTTGTAGACGGTTCCAAACGAACCGGAGCCGATCCGTTTCACCAGCGTCACCTCCTCCTCCTTCACCTCCCAGTAGTAGCTCGAGTCTCGGTTGCCACCAATACCCTCGCCTTTCTAGAGGCCGGGGAAAGTTACATTGTTATGAGAGCGATCGACGGAGAAGTGTGATGTGATGACATTGAACGAGCAAGTGAGCGAATGACTGGATGAATGAACAAGCAAGTGTGTGAACAAGCGAGTGAGAAACCGATTGAGTAAGCAAAAAAAACGACTGAGTAGATAAGCAAGTGTATTCATGAGTAAGTAAGAAAGTGAATGTGTTCGTGAATGAGAGAGTGAGTAAATAAGCAGGCAAGCAACTAATTGGGCAAGCAAGTAAATAAGAAAATAAATGCATGGGAGTGAGCATGTGAGCACGTACAGGAGCAGTGAGCGAGTGAAAAAGTGAGCAAGACAAGGGAGATACCAAATAAGTGAGCAAGTCAGCAACAGGGCTTGCACGCGAATAAGCCCACGGATGAGCAAGTGCAAGAGCAGGTGAGCAGGCAAGGGAGAGTGAACAAAGGGACAAGAGGGGCAGCCCAGCGAGCGCGTTGTCATCCTCACCGTCAGACGCTTGTCGTCGGACGACGGGAGTTTCTTTTCCCGCGTGACGGGCGACCTTTGCCCTTTTGACCGCCCCACGACGCCCGACTGGCTGGCGGGAGGGCTGGCGCCCGTGTGGCTCCCTGCACCGGTGAGACGTTCTCATGTCACATTGTGTTTTGTATTTATAACAGCATTACAGCCGCGATGAGTTATTTATCAACGAGACCGCAAATGGGTCATTCAAGTCGACTTTTCCGATTTTGTACAAGAATGCGATTTACGATGAAGATGTCATTAATCTACCGGCCACTATTAGCCACCTGATAAAGGCCGCTCATCACAACTAATACAAAACACTCGTCTCATCCGATACAGAACCCTAACCTCATCACATACAGACCCAATAGCAATATCTGATGTAGAACCCTCACGCTCATCGAATACAGAGCCCTAATGCTCATCCGATAAAAAAACTTCATTTCAAATTATATAGAATCAATAGTCTCATCAATATCACCCTCATCTCATCCAAGAGAAAATCTTCGTCTCTGCCAATCAGTGCTTCAGGACCCTTGTCTCATTAGCGAACCCTCGTCATCAAATATAAAGCCCTCATCTCAACTATTCCAGGACCATTATCACATCTGACAGCGAACCTGCATCTCATCCAAAACAGAGGCTTCATTTTAAATATAACCGTCGTCTCATTTGATACAAGCAGTCCAGTTATATTTCTTTACAGAAACCAGAGCACGTCTGCCAAAGACCTTCACCTCTGCTAATGAGCTCTCCTCTTATCCAATAGAGAACCACTCATCTGCAACCAATTCGTCTAAACCTCATCTCGTTAAGATGCTTTAGTTTGGCTCCCAGTGCCATCAGCCAATTTCACGCGGCGACATTTAATACAGATTAACGTATAAAGCTAAAGAAAACTTTTTGCTAAATAAACACCTTCAAAATTCATCAAAACCTACACTTAAAAATCGTCGGACAATTCACGACCCAACGGCGGAACTTGCATACACAATGAGTCGTCGCTACAGCTCCATCACTATTGAAAATAATTTGTTTTACTTCTAAAATACATTGGTGAGTTGGCCGTTGTTTAGGCAGTTTTACCTCCTGATTGGTGGGAGGATGAACTTTTCAAGAGACTCTGAAAAGGAATTGAAAAGAACAACAATTAATTAATTCACAAATTTCAACCACAGGCAATTGACAAATTGCCTATGGTTTACTATAGACATACAGACGCGCATGCACAAGTGTGATACAGAATAGTGCGCGCTCAACTCAGACATACAAACATTCCCCTGTATAGCCATATACATTATTAAGGCGGGTGCTGTTAGAAAGCACCTATTAATGCTGACATTGCATGGCAGCATCAAGCACAGCCTGATATGGGCATCTTTGCGATATTTCATTTGTGTTGAAATCTCGTAAACAAGTCAGAATTCCATTCCAACAACTGGTTCCGCTTACCATGTTTCATACTACTAATTTTAGTGTGCCTTTCTCATAATTTTCAAGCTTGCGTATCGTACCACATCGTCATCTTGCTTACCGCTGTCTGTTCTCTCTGCCTGGGTCCTCTCTTTGGAATTTTCACACTTAAATTCTAACTTAGCAATCTTTGAAATACGTAATCAACCGGGCTATGCGTTAATTGTGTGTTGACCGACTCTCTGTGTTGCATTACATTATATTTCGATATTTTACTAGGTTATTTAATTTTAGTGTGTCTTTCTCCTGATTTTCAAGCTTGCGTTGCCGTGCCGCGTCGTCATCTTACTTGCAGCATCACGTTGCCGTCCACTCATTGATATGCTATTTTTTTTCTCTGTCCCCTCCCTCTCTCCGCCCCCGCCTCCCTCTCTATATTTAAGGGACTGTCACAGAAACGACGTCTCTCTTTGTGTCTGCTTGTATGTCTGTCTATAGTTTTCTAGTTAGATTTTTGTTGCTATTTCTTTTATGCCTGATGATGATTGCTTGTGTTGCAATCGAAACGTCGTAATATGCTATTATTTAATTTATTATTTTATCTTTAGACGTGACTTAACCGAAAGAACCAAATAATAATTCCTGCAGTCACGAAAGCTCCAAAATTAAGATTCATACTGCAATGGACTTGGGGAGGGCCTTCATTGATCACGTTTAATGATGATATGACGAGCACAACAAGACAAAGCCCCCTATTGCCTTAATCAGGGCAAGTGCTGTTAGAGAGCACCGATGAAGGTTAGCACGGCACATGAAGGGGCGAGTGGCCAGCACCACACCCAGCTGCATGTCTACCTGTGGTTATTTTCACACCAGGTTCTCGTTTAAGTTCAAGTCGACCTAGGGGAGGCCCAGGACCAGTTAAGATACTCGTCACCGATGTTAAAAGTGAGTGGGAATCGAACTCGTATCACCAATTTTGTAGTGCAGTCCGCTTAACCACTGGACTACCGCTCTCCACGACTGGCAAGCAAGAACAACAGCCATTCGCCACTAAGTGGCGGTGACGTCACCATGGCGCTTGTACCAGGCGATGTGCATGTTAAGGCCACGTGAAGTGTCGAATGCCTGCTGGCAGGTCGTCACGGGGCCGACCCAGGTGCCATGGGTCGACTGAGATGACTGTACTTATGCAGCACCTGTGCCCCCTACGACTGGCAAGCACGCGCACACACACACACACACGCGCACGTGACCTCACCTCTATGAGTGAGGCATCCACAGGCGTCGTGGTGCTCGGGATGTGCACATTGGGTGTGGACGTGGAGCGCTCGCGAGAGCCCAGCGACCCCCCGACCTCCACGAGCAGCGGAGGGAACGGGAACGCGTGCGAGCTCGGCCGCATGTCGGGCGACCTGACGGGAACGACAGGCCGAGGTCATCTTTACCATCGTGACATAATTCACAAGAGCAGGCCCATTGTCTGCCTGCCGGTGTAATGGTACAAATGTGAAAATTACCCGCAAATTACTTATTTAGGAAACGCAAAGCAACCGTCGTCGCCTCCTACAAGAAAAACAGAGCAAGACCCTCCTGGAAAAAGCCTTGAGACTCAGTGAGGAATTAATAAACAAGAGCAATATTAAATAATGAGCCTCACAGTCGAGCCACTGGTTGGGCATCCTGGCTTCACAAGCACTCGCGGCGACATTAAATAATGTACATAAACCGCATCAGCAAATTAAATGAATGCTGCGGATAGCTTGTGCGCACATGGATAGTCAAGGATACTCCACGACAAGCAATGGGAACGGATGCGTGAACAACTGTTCCATTGTTGCTCATTGCCCAGGAACTTCTCTGAAATTCACTCCATGTGTCCCAAGCTCTTGAGGAGTCAGGCATAAAGACCCGCTCTCACCAAGGCTATTGACGGTGATATTAGATCTTTTTATTATAGCTGCTTAAACACTGAACAATCTACCAGATGCATGAAAAGATTGCAGAATCTCAAATTATTCATATCATTACTTAAACACACTTGCACAATATTTGCAACTGTTACAGCTAGAGAACATTCTATACGATTGAGCGATGTGCCCCGTTACTTATTGTGTTTGACTGTGGTGCGGTGTTCATGTGCACTGCCCTTGGCGTCTTGTGCCTGTTCTTGATGCTGTATGAAAACATCTGACATTCTAACAATGTAGACAGTACAGGTTTTGAAATACTTGTACTTGTGTCATTACACGTTTGCCATGTGTGTGTGTGTGTTACTTGGCAGCATGGACACCCTTGCAAATAAGAAGTTTCATCATGGGACCTCCTTTGCCAGTACCAAAATATACTAATAAGGTTTTCCCCTTTTTTCTGGCAACAAAACTGACACCTTTTGCAAGGAATCATGCTTACATTAACCACAATACTTGCAGTCAAATGCAAACAAAAAACAATACTCTGATAATTTATGCATTGTCTTTGAAACTGATTGGTCCACACCAGAGACAGCTTTCTTTAGAGCCTAGTCTCATATGGTGTTCGACCAGATGACGCACGTTTGGCAGCGGAAGCCATCTAAAGAAAGCTGTCTCTGGTGTGGACCAATCAGTTTCAAAGACAATGCATAAACTATCAGAGTATTGTTTTTGTTTGCATTTGACTGCAAGTATTGTGGTTAATGTAAGCATGATTCCTTGCAAAAGGTGTCAGTTTTGTTGCCAGAAAAAAGGGGAAAACCCTATCAGTATAAGAAGTTTCATCTCAAGCAATTTTGCAGCTAAAATATTGTTATAATAATAAAACAATTTCAAGTGGTGTTGGGCAGGCGTGGTGTGGAGCAGGGAGCCATGTCCCTGACGCTCATGGTGAGCGGCGTTACCCGTGGCTCGATGCTGGCATGGCAGACATCGGCGGGCGGCTTAAGTAGCCCGGTGAGATGGGGCTCGGGTGATCACACCACGTCAGGTCCCGCATGTCCGGCTGGATTCGGTTTCTACAACGAGTGAATCGGGACGGGATGGGCGAGAGTTAGAGAGCACATTTTTACATTGAATTAACTAAACACATGACATGTGCTGTCGTGGTGGAAGTCCAGTGTTATGAAAATATAAAGTAAAACACAACATTCTGTTTCAATAGACAACGGGCTCTTCGACCGGATTATTATTTGTTTGGTTTATTAGTGAATAACCACCATCCAGTAGTGTACAAAGTTACATAGGATAATTCATTTAGTTAACGTATTCTGTCTCATTCAGCAGTGGAGGCACAAAGGCTTGTAAATTATGTTAAAAATGTGCCCACAATCCACCACGGAAGCACATAATACATTTTGTGCAATGTTGCTGTGCTGCGCTTATTGGACCTCATTGTGTTTGCAGAAGCTCTGAGCCTATACCAGCTGGAAACCCAGCGGCATCTGCTGAACAATCCACATTTCCTGAACATTGGCCGAGCCCCCCACTTCTGAAAAAATAGCCCCCCTCCCCTTGGAGATTCTTACAGTCAAAACATGGACAAGAATGTAAACATGAGTACAATTAAGCAATGGGCGTCTCTGTAGCCTTCTATAACATATATTGTGAATGACAGCTAGAGCGGAAGGCATGTTGGACAACAGCGGAAAGTATCGTTCATCATTCCGTCAAGCGGTTTAACATTCACACTACGTTTGTTTAACCCTGACCGTCTCACGCCGGCACTCTCTCGAGTTTTTCGTACAACTCCCCCGGTACAACAAGGTCACGCTACAGGGGCCGGCGCCGCACGCACTTGAGCTGGTGGAGGTTGATGCAGACCATGGGCACCTCCGTGCTGCAGCGCTCGTGGAACTTGTACCCGCACGTTTGGCAGCGGAAGCCATTGAAGAGGAAACGCAGGCAGAAATCGCAGTAAACCAGGGACAGGAACGTCTTGCGCACCTGTTGAGGGATTCACGAAGAACGTGCAGAGGACAAGGGCGGGATCCGGCGGTCAGGCACCACTCGGTAAACGTGCAATGATTCACCACCCCGCCCCCTCCACCCAGGGTGGGTGCGCTTTTCAAATACTCATCAAGATACATGAGTCGCAATTTGACTCAAGATTGGATCGCGTTTATTTTCTTGGTTTTTTGGCATCGGACATAATTGGTCAATTGTTCGATTATCCCGAATGTAACATTGGCGCAAAATATACACACAAAAGGTAAAAATGCAGCCTTGCAATTGCTTGATCGTGTCACTACTGGTGGAAGGGTCTCTACGAGATGGATCTCTACAGTCATCTAGGTTTACTGGCCGACTCTTTCATGCTGGGTCGACTTCTTGGAAGAGGAGTACCTAAACTTTACCATGTATGTATATACAACTTATTTTGCACCGTACGTAGCCAACCGTGATAATCACCAGAGTCGATTGACAAGTTGCCAATTTTAACCCATTTATCCTGCTGGATGGAAAGTGGTGAGAGCTCTTCAAAACTTTCCCATCGTTTCAAGTGTCGCCAGAAGATCGAACCGGCAACCTCTGCATTGCAATTCCACTGTGCTAACCATTACACTCGAAAACAACTCATCACACACAATTCAATCCTTGCATCATTCTTCGTACATGATATTCAAACTTGACTTTAATGAGAAAATAAGAACGGGGATGAAAGAAAGACGAAGACAACACAAATGAGAGAGTAAATTGGGGCAAGAACATTTTTTTCCAAAACATCAAATGGTAAAACCTGAATCCTGGCAATTCTTCAACTCATGTGGAAGGGAAAATAATTACAAGCCTGGTCATCTATCACTCAGTTCTGTCTCAGAACCAAACATGCAGATTTAGTCAGTCCGTCAGCCACGCGCAGAGACGATTACGTCAATCACAGGTTGGGGAGGGGGGGGTGCAAGAACGAGCGATGGTCTCAACACCCGATACTGCAGTCCTCTTCCCGGATCGAGCGGAGCCCTTCAGCCGAAAACCACGCTGCCACTGTGCCAACTTCTCTCGCTGCACCGCCACAAAACAGGAACCGGGAAGTGTTGCAACTATTGGGTCAGGAACGGGAAGCTAGTGCCGGGAGAGATGAGGGGGGGGGGGCCTGTACACCCGCTGCGTTGTGCCGCGTTGTGCCGTGTGCGATGCCGTGAGCGACTCACAAAGTTGTGTGTGGTGAGAAGCACGTTGTCCAAAATTTCCACCGAGAGCTCGTCCCCGATGAACCATGACACGTCCATGTTCCAATCGATCATCTCCTTCCCACTGCGGGCACAACAGTGATTACAAGCAAGAAAAGACACACACGGACATACACAAAAAATTCCCCGTGTATAGCCTTAACAGAGTGCTGGGGCAAGTGCTGTTAGCGAGCACCTATTAAGGCCGGCACAGGATACGAGGATGGCCAGCCCCCCCACACCCGTCCGCCCTCGTCTCCCGAGTGGCGATGTTTTCACATCGCACCAGGTACAGACACTCGTGATCAAAACTAAAGAGGTCATCAGGAGGTGTTGACATTGATGTCAATATACCGCATCATAACTTCCTTTCTTCTTCTAGATACCGTTGTTGTTGTAAAGTTGACTAATTTTATCGCAGTCTGTGTCACAGCACTTTGCAGTGCTGTACAAAACACTACAATCTGTGTTAATTTTACACCGACTGAGATTCTGATGAGCCACAGGTAGGATTGAGACGTCATCCTGGAAATAACTCAATGAAGATCACAATGGGTAAGACCCCAGTAACTTATTTTTTCTCACACCACTGCATAGGGGCCCCACAGTGGCGAGATGTTAACTACTCGCCTGGTATATAGGAGGTCGTAGGTTCGATCCCAACCCCGACGCCTGTATATCTGGAGTTTGCATGTTCTCTCTCCCTGTGGTCGTGTGGATTTTTCTCCGGGTCCTCTGGTTTTTCTTTCCACATTTACAAACATACGTTTCGAATATTTGGCTCGGCTGTAAATTTCTACATGATGAGCCACTTCGTTGAGCTATCATTTGTGGCCAGGTCGCTTCTAAACAAGAGCTACATAGCTCAGTGGGCCTGACCAGGTAAATAAAAAGTTTAGTTTTAGGATTTCATCATCGTGCTGTGCAGCTCTCCGACGTGCTTCTGGGTTGTACCGATGTGTTGTACGGCACCAGTGTCTGACATTTCAGCCCTACGTGCCGGAAGATTCTTCAGGAAATTAATCGAAGTGTTGACCGGTGAGCGAGCGGTGGAGCGAGTAGAGGGGTGAGCGAATGGACCGGGGAGAGCGGCGAGCGCGGCGCCCTTCCGTACCGTTCATTCACCCTGTAGACACCGCAACAGTGCGTGGTGAGGCCACGAATCGTGAGCGCCTTCATGAGGCTGTCCTTCACGGTCACCCCGCTACGAGCAGGAACCTACGAGCAATGCACAAAGCACAAACGTTGAGCATCAAGAAGACCGATTTTTATTACAATTAATAATTGATTCAATGGTAAGGATACGTAATGGATCTGGCCAAATGTATGTCGTGAGACAAGGCCGTAGCCATGAAGTCAACATTGGGAGGGACCAAATCTTTCAGGGGGTCTGGGTGACCCCCCCCAGAAAAAAAATCTAAATTTGAAAACTCATTTTCCTACCATTTCCTGCCTAAAATATGCAAAAATTTACTAACACATAGGATGGACTTCTTATTTCTTTTTTACAATAATGTCTAATAGTGTATTGTATTACAATTGCTCTGTTTTTTCTTTTTTACCTTTTCTTGTTTCATTGTATAATGGCAGAGATTAGGGATTAGTAAAGTACAACCATAACCACAATCATATAAACAGAAATCTATTTTATAGCAATAAATTGGGGGGGATATTTTTTAGCATATTTGAATATTGGAGGGGGGGATGTGTCCCCCCCAATATATATTATAATTACGGCCTTGTCGCGAGACTTTTCACCACCCAATATTCTGACTTCCTGGGGTTTGTCCTGAAGATGCCTGATGCAGTTTCAAGCAAAACATCCAATTCACATGCTAACTTTGCTTGTGAGGATTGTTCTTATACTTACCGGTGAGCTGAAACAATAATGCCTGGTGCCTTAAAAGCTTGTGCATGCAAAAATGTAATTAGTTTGGCTATGTGGCATGATCATTAAGTGGCCTCATCTAAAAATATATTATGAATCATATTACTGGTTTTGAAAACCTACGTGTTATGTGAACTTGAAAATGTAAAGCAACATATCAACATGCCTGACGAAGAGTTTTTGATCAGCAATAGTAGCTGCAATCACTGGCAGAGCCAGTGGGGGGAGGTGGGGTGGCACGTGCCCCCCAATGATCCGATCAAAATCCCTAATTTCGATCGGATCATTGGGGTTTATTAGAAATAAATCAAATTTTGCAACCCCCACTGCCACTGTGTAGCATATTATTACGTGCCAGGGACTCTATGAGATGATAGGACAATAGTCTGAGTCCATAATTGGCAATAAGTAACAGCAAAGCAGTTATAAGCGACTCAGAATTGTGCGCAGTTGCGTATACAGCGCACGACTTCCCTGAAGGCATCAACACCTTCAGCGAGCGTGATGCCGATCACACACGGTTCGAATTCGACCCTCGATCGATGGCTGCACCATCGCCGCACACGCGTCGAATAAAAAGCAAGGGACAAGTCCTTACTTACTAACAACTCCTATCATTTTTCATTGCTGGAGGGGTTGCCCCCCCTACCTGAAAATCCTGGCTCCGCCATTGCCTGCTATTAAGTATAGATCAGAAAAATGGACACTCACAAGAAGATGCACAAAGTAAGCATGGATATGTGCATGCTGGGAATTAGACTGGGAGAGAATGGGAAAAAAATAAGAATCAGGGGACGTAAAATAGACATCAATTTGGGTGTTAAGAAAAGTAAGTCGTCTTGGGCAAGATGTGTCGCTGTAAGGGATGACGGTCGATGGACACGACTAACGACAGTGGTAGGCGATGGAGAGAACATGCTGGAGAGTACGCCCACCGTGGAAATGGAGCAATGTAATCAGCTCATGTGTGGGTGCTCGGTGGTTTGTCACATCGCGAGGACCTTGTTAAATGGCTATGGCTTGGAGAGGCCTTAATCCAACGGTGGACAGATTATGGCTGATGATGATGATGATGATGCAAAGTGTGCTTATATACAACTGCTAATGTGTTTTTCGGCATATGAAGTGCAGCGTAAGAATAAAGATCGCTACAGACAGACATGAGCTGGCGCCCACGGTGGCGCCGTACTCACCACGGTGCGCTGCTTGTTGGGCAGGGAGACGCGCACGAGTGTGGTGCCGGAGCGGGTCGGCTCCGCGTGAGCCCCGTCCTGGGCGCCGTTCATTCTCCCTGACAGCGCTGCGTGCGCCGTCGATGGCGGTGGAGGAGGTGGTGGTGGTGGTGGTGTGGGAGGAGCCAGCATCACAGTCCCGCCCCCTCCACCTGCCAGCCACAACATCAAACGAGCAAACAGATGAAGTGAAAGAATCAACGGCAGCGCGGCGGTGTAGCTTTGCTTTAATGAAGAAAACAAATCTCTTTGTGTGTGAGTGCGTAAGTGGGATTGCTTGCTTGTCTACCCAAGTGTGCATGTGTGCTCCTATGTGTCAGTGTGTGCCTGTGTGAGTGATTGTTCAGTTTACCATGAGTGTAATAATTGGGCAATTCATCAATTGAAACAAATTCTAAACCTAATGTGAGAACAGATTATTCAATTACACGTGAACGATATCCCAATGTAATAAATGAGGTAGAGGAAATGCAAACAATATACAATAAAGAACCAATTCCGCAACAGAATCATAAAATCTCAATTAAAAAAAAGCATACCGTATAGCCATGCTTTCAATGCACATGTCTTTGCATTTCGAACATGTGTATACTTGCATACAAATGTTTGTACCTGTGCACATGCCTGCGCATATGCCTATGTGCCCAAGAATGCATGTGAATGCTTGCTTGTGTCTTTCTCTTTCATGTCTATACCCGTGTGTACCTGTATACAAGTGCGTGTACATGCCCGTGTACCCAGACATGCATGCGTGTACCTACATGCGCACTTGCGTGATTGTGTGCGTGTGTACGTATGCTCACTCACGTTCAATCGATTATTCGTAAATTCACTTTCGCAGTAAGTATTCGTGACACGCATCACTTGCATCACATCAGAATTCCACTTTCGAATCCAAGCCCAAACTTGTAATAATGGAACGTGTCTACGTGCATATACAATCGTGCATGCACGCATGAGTGATGCTGACACTTAACTTTCCTCACTTGCTTATATATGCAACAGCAAGATGTCTGACACAATATAACTGGATAAACAACTCCGTTATTTTCCTGTCATTTTCTTATTGCGAATTATTTACTTTTTTTTCTAGCCATCAAACAGAGGGTCACCACATCGCGTGCTTTCAGATGCACCTCTGTGGTCGTGTGGAACACTTTTCTTCCAATATTAAGAAGCCACTGGAGCTATGCACTTTGAAACGTAGGTTGAAAGCTCATTTCTTGAGAACAGCTTTTTGTGTTTAGTTTGTCCTTCCCCGCACCTTTGATTAGCACGGTTGGCTACGAACGGTGCGAAAGAAGTTCAACATACATATTTCTCATTCATTCTCCTCTATTACACTGACAATATGGAGATCCCTTCCTCCAGCCATCCATGCTGTTGACCCCCTGCCTCTGTTCAAGTCCAATCTTAAGAACATCCTTTGTTTCATCTGCTTATGACTGTGTTTCTAGAAAATAAATATGCCAATTGTTTACGTATATCATTTGGGATGTAGTCACATTCATACATTACATAAATATATGTTACGTCATATACTCAAACAGAGACCCATATACTCACATACCATACATTTACTTAGGGACCCATAGTTTCACAGAGATCCCTAGAATCACATATACCTAAAATCACATATACCCAGACACACACAGAGACCCACAGATTCATATATAAACCCATCTACTTATGTAGAGACCCACAGAATCACAAAGACAGTTGTGGACTCGCATGCCTTGATCTAGATCATAAATATGCCCACGATTTCTGTAGTGCCTTGAGATGCGGTCATATTAACATGCTATACAATACATATTGTATTGTAATTGTGTAAAACACATGGATAGATTTGTTTTAATCCACAGGCCGAGCAGGCAAAATGCCTTTCCTCGTCTAGATTTCCTGTGCAAGCTGCCCAGGCAGGGCTGCCCAGGCGAGAAGGGAGGGAAGGTGGTCAGGCCTCCCTGGCCTCAACTTTACACACAGGCTGTTTAACGGCTCAGTAGTGAGTAAATGTGTTGCAAAACAGAGGCAACAAGGTTGCATTGTTAATTACGAAGCACTGCGCAACATTTGAAAAATGCAAATAGTTACGTGTGCAGGAGAACTACCCCTAGTCAGGTCCAGGCATTTTTTTCCCTCTGCTTATGACTGTTTCTTTCTCTCTGCAACATAAATGTGACCACTGTTTCTGTGCAGCACGTTGAGAAGCGGTTGCATTTAGAGGCCATGTTAATTCACATCGATTTGAATTGTACCGTTTAACGTCAGCTTAATTGTGTGCGTGCCTGTACTTGTCCATGTGCACCGATGTGCCATATGTGTACTCCAGCATGTGTCCACGTGCATGCGTGTGCGCACGAGTGCATGTATGTATGTATGTGCATGTTAAACGGCAGGAGAGCAATGGTTAGCATGCTGAGCTATGAACCTGGTGACCCGAGTTAAATCTTCGCTCCCAATCGGTGACGAATATCTGAACCAGTCCTGGGCGTCCCCTAGGTCGACTCGGCCTCAAATACGTACTTTGTGTGATGTGTAAACATCGCCAGAGGGAGACAAAGGCACCCGGGTGTGGTGCTGGCATCCCACTCCCCTGTGTGCCATGCCGTCCTTCATAGGTGTGACAAGTCTGTTAAGGCTATACAGGGGGTCATTGTCTTTGTTAAAGAGTAAACAAACGCGTGCATGTAATATTTGTGAGTGCCTTCTGACTAGACCCATAATAATTTATCCCTTCCTGGAGATTCAGAGTCAAGATGCAATTCATGAGTAAAAAATTGTTTCTGTCTAATATGTATTATATTTTTTTCTCTTTGGTTTGTACAGTTTTGTTTACTCATTAAGCCAAAATGTAACATTAGCATAGCTGGCATATATATATTTTCTAAAAATCTCAATTATTAAGCGCACAATTCAATGAACATACAGTGAGTTCAAATACTGAATTGTGATTAAAAAAATTACACAGTTACATGGTTACTGCACACCCATGTGAGCATGTGTGTATGTATGAGGATGGAGCGGTGGTTTAGTGGTTTGCACACTGCACTATGAACCCAATAACCTAAGTCATTGGCCACCCCTAAGTCAACTTAGCCTAAAATAAAAATGACTTTCAGTGTGTAAACATCAGCACAGCAGCAGAGTACTGGCCACACAACGCTGCAGTGCACTGGCTATAATAGGTGCTCACGAAAAGCACATGCCCCAACAGTCAATACATCTACACGGGGATCTTTGTGTTCATGTGTATAAACGTATTTGCCTGCGTGTGCGTGCCTGTGCACCTATCCAACTGCGAGTAGTCCACATTTGCACGCGTTGCACATGTACTCTCGCGTGTAAACGCAGGTGCATACGTGTGCTCGTGCGTTTACTTTACTGTGCGTGCGTACCTCCGCCTCCTACGGACCCAGGAACGCCGAGCGCACCGAGCCTGGCAGGACTGCTGTGGTTGCGCAGTGAGTGGAGGAAACTGTGTTCCCGTGGCATTTAATCCTGGCGCGCCGACTTCATCTGGCTGCTCACCGCATGTGCGCGCAAAAACAAGACAAAAACGGACAACTCAATGTTAAACCCCGATTGAATCGTCGCGTGCCAAAAACCACGATCCTCGCGATCAAACCAGCCTTCTCGAACCCAGACTTCCATCTCATGAGATTTATACTGTGATTGCAACAGACAGGGCAACCAAGCGGGCGAGCTTTCACGCTTACCCTGGTTGGTGGCTTGACACCAGATTTGCCGATTGAGCATGTCAAGCTGTGGCAATCACAATTGACCAAAGCTGAAAAGCAGTCCCAGGAGTTGAGCAGCGCGGCACGAAAAATGGAAAAGCGTCACCGCGTTTCAACATTCAGAGCTGTGACAACGAGAACACCGGTGCACGGGACAGCCGGCGTATGACGACTGTTGATAGGTTTACTATTACTATTGAATTATTAATCTTATTTTTTACAGCTTCAGCAAAAAACTCCATGCCTCTTGGCAACACCACCCCTATTCCACCCTGCCCCCCCACCCCCTTACCAATACCACAGCCCCAACCGCACACCCCCGCAAACTTAGCCACAAGCTCCCCTGGGAACCACTTGCCACGGAAAAAAAATAAAAATTTAGCGTCACTGCCGTTAGGAAAATAACCACATCTCAAGTAATTCGGTCCTTAAGAGAGGACCTAAGAAAACAGCGACTGTTATGCCATCTCAAACTACATAAATCTGCTACCCATGTACCAGCAGAAAGAGGCACATTTCTGTTTGCAAGCACAGAAATCGGAGCATCATGAATTGCATCTATCATAGAGGTTACACACACTACCGATATGATGGGGACACAGGTCACATGATCTGTGGGTACACTTTGAAATGTGGAAATCATTCACTCGGCATCGCTTCATGGATGCACCTTGTAAAACTGCCTCCACAGGACATCAAACTGGGGCGCAAAATCTTTCATTTATTTTCAGGACAAGGCTTTGAAGCTTTGTTTTGTTGTCCCCTTTAAATAAAACATGAAAGCAAGAGACGGCTCACTTGGAGGGCATCAAAACAACGCGCGCTGTGATCAGAACTCAATGCGCGAGTGAAGAGAAGGACCTGGGATTGGTGGGAGGCGAGAAGGTGTGAAGTGTATGGGTAGGTCAGGGTCTCTTATATCAGGTGCAATGCATCAAATAGGACCAGTACAAAGGCACAAAGACCAAGACAAAGGTAATGCAAGAATAGCCACTGTTAACGCATTAACAGATTATAACTCACAAGGTGGCGAGGAAGCAGAGTCATTATTTTTTTTGGGAGTGGGGGTGGGGGTTAATTCCCTGATATATGCAAACTTCTTTACGTAATAAGTTGCTATTATGCCTAAATAATACATATTTTTCGATTTTAAAGCTTTCGTGACTGCAGTGGTTCATCTTCTTGGTTCTTTCGGTAAAGTCACGTAGAAGGAAAATAATAAAACAAATAAAACATAATAAAATAATTCTCACGACGTTTCGGCCACAACGCAAGCAGCCGTCCTCAGGTGGAGAACGTCGTGAGAATTATTTTATTATGTTTTATTTTTATTATTTTATTATTTTCCTTCTACGTGACTTTACCGAAAGAACCAAGAAGATGAATACATATTTTAATCAGTTCATTATAGCTGTTCAGACCTACGAATTAGAAATATGGGCATTGACAAAAAAAATGGAGGTGAAGCTAAAGGGTGTGCACACAAGCCTGGAGAGATGTAGGCTTTGTACTCCACTGAGAGGACCAAGAGGAGCACATGAATTATAGAACACATACACGATATAGAAATGATATTGACAGTTAATAAAAGTAAATAGGCTTGGGCAGCACACATCGCTAGAAAGGATGATGGCTGGTCAGAATCAGAATATATATTTATACTTGAGAAATCCTATGAGCTATAAAGCTCTTTGACAAAGATGTCCAGTCAGGGCGGGTCAGAACTTTACAACAAACAATACAAAATCACGATAGGAGTGCAAAGTATATAAAAGGTATCTTCTTGGTTCTTTCGGTAAAGTCACGTAGAAGGGAAATAATAAAATGATAAAAATAAAACATAATAAAATACAATTTTTACGACGTTTCAGCCACAAAGCAAGCAGCCGTCCTCAGGTGAAGAACAGGTCTGTCGGAAAGACAGCGTCTGAACTTCCGACCGCCCTGTTCTTCACCTGAGGACGGCTGCTTGCGTTGTGGCCGAAACGTCGTGAGAATTGTATTTTATTCTGTTTTATTTTTATTATTTTATTATTTACCTTCTACGTTACTTTACCGAAAGAACCAAGAAGATGAATCCCTGCATCACGAAAGCTTTAAATCGAAATATAGAAGAGGTAAGCAAATCACTTTTTAAAAATATGGTGGTCGATAAATAATGGGAGTGACGGTCAGGGGAGGGTTCATACTCAAGAGGACGTGGATCATGGAGACTGAGTAATGAAGTCAGCTCGTGGAAACAGGAGCTGGAAGCATTATTGCATTTCAGAACCAGTAGTGGACTTGAAACTCTCTGCCGACAGCTGTCAGTTGGTCCAGTTTGGTTGGTTCCTTTAAGCCCCGCGTAAAAACATGCATCTTTCAGAAAGCATTTACTATCTTAAATGAGGCACTTATTAGCTGTCCCACCCCAATTGTCGTTGATGCAAAGTGCCTTGAGATGTTATGATGAAAGGTGAAGTTGTAATAATTATTATGAGTTGATTCAAGTTTATTTTGTTGAACCAGGTGACAACTCAAGAGACCAGGATAGTCTCATGTGAAAGTGTGACCTGAGGCATTAGTCTGCTAGTAGGGGGTGATGATAATCACGTATGATCCCAATTGAGGAGTGTGTGTAATTTTCGAAAATGGAAAATTTGGAACCAAACACCAGCACAAAAGTCGCCTGTTCTTGTGAATTACGTCAGGGGATCTTTTGAACGTCCAGTGTAAAGCAGACAGCGTGCAGTAATAAGTCATTACACTCGCAGTAATAATCAGGGTGGCCGCTGAATTCGAACTGTGAACCTTTGCAACGAACAGAAAATGCGCTTGCGCTAGGCCGCGTCTCCACCCATTCGCCATGGCTGACGATGAAGATGACTACTACTGATGTACTAAAAGACATTTGTTCGTCATTTCGCTTTTAACGCAAGAACCAAAAGTGGAACAGAGATGGTCCAATACGTACACGGTAGCCTACCAACAGTGGAGGGATCATGGCTGGTGATGACTGAGAAAGTGAGGGCCGCTGTGCACAACCGCACGTAACAAACACAGAAACCGCGCTTCCCCCAGTGGAAACTGACTGCCCTTCAAAACAGTCTACAGTCTACACCGTGTCACGTTTATAGACAGCAAGGTGTTTTTACTTGTATTATTCTGGGCCCCAATTCTGCAAGCGAACAAGCAGCTCGAATAAGCAGCAAGTTTTCCTAATTTTGCATCGTTACTCATAAAGTAACACCGTGAAATGAGACACCACCACCACCACTGAGCGTGACTGCGAGCACATTAATTATTCAGCAGCGAGGAGTTCTGTATCACTTGCCGGTGCAGGAGGCTGCTACGCAAAGACAAAAATCTGCCCATGTAGACCTATACTGTTGGAGCAAGTGCTGTTCGCGAGCACTTATTGAGATCGTAACAGTCCACGTTGGGGTGATGTGGCCAGCGCCACACCTGACCACCATTTTTTCCGCAATGTTGAAGTTATACACTCTGCAAAAGGTATGAATTTTGAGGTGGAGATGACCTAGGAGATAACAGGCTTAGATATGACGTTCCACAGATGCTAGCTGTATCTGGAAACTGAACTTCTGGTAACCAAGATCGTAGCAAAGTGCACAAACCAGTGCATGACTGCTCTCTAACAACACACACAAATAGAGGCCTACAAAAATATATAAATCAGTCACCCTTACAAAAAGCAACGCTGAGCATGGTGCTTGCCACAGTCTGTGTGTGTTAGTGTGCACATGCAAAATTCTACTAGGAAGTTTGCAGCAGCTGCTTTCCAGCAACGATGGGAAATGCAAACGCTCACGACAATGAGCAAAATACCAGGTGGCTAAAGCACATCATGTTGGTACGGTGGCTAGCACAGGTAATGCATATCCGTCGGTCATCTCAGTCAGTAAACCCATAACACCAGGGTGTGTTCAGTAACCTCCTGCCAGAAATCCTTGAACACTTTACATGGCCTCAAAATGCTTTTCAGGCCATAAATCAAAGAACCGATCACGTGCACACACATAAAAGGCTAAGATCCACGTTTCAGGCAGTGCATGGTGCTGGCCATACCACCCCCTTGCATGCCATGCCAGCCTTATTAGGTGCTCACTTACAGAACTTGTCCCAAAAGTCGATAAGGCTATATGTGGGATGACTGGTAAAAGATGCTACTGAATAGTTGGCAGCAGTTGCTATAGAGCAACAACGGGAGGTTGAGAAGTGACGCTATTAAGAATCATCAGAATGCTGAGCGGTTAAGATACAAGTTGGCACAGCAGAGAATGCAGGTGGGGCATCTGCAATTTTTCTCAGTTACTCCATAATACCTATGTCGGTGCCATGACCTGCGAGCCTTCAACAATCGAAAGGACCTCAAAAGGCACAGATTGGTACAAACACACCGGTGACGTTCCACAACTTAGCGGCAAATAACAGTTGTTTAATAAAGAAAGAAAGCTTTAAGTCAAGAAAGAAAATGTTGTATATTATAAAGACACAGGTCTCCCATGAAGCCTACAAGGACCGTTTAGGGCAATGGCTGTTGGCGAGTACCTATGTGGCCAACATCACATCCCGCCACCTTTGTCTCCCCAGTGATGATGTTTACACACCCTACCAGGTACTCATTTAAGTCTGCATCAAACTAGGGGAAGGCCAGGACTGGTTCAGATATTCATCACCAATGTTGACTGCGGCGAGCCCGAATCGAACTCGGGCCACTGGGTTCGTAGTGCAGTGTGCAACCCACCACCCTACTACTCCCCCCCACCACACACTAAAGTACTAAACGGTCAGTCATGCCATAAACAAACAGCGCCAATGCAATGTACTTTTATTTTTTATATTATTTTCTTAATAGCGTCATCTTACACAGTTGGCAAAGCTTACACTTCACATTTACCATAATAGCCACGGCAGTTTACTGTAAACGTCCAGCTCGCTGAAACAGAGGCACTACAAAACACGGGTGAAATTTAAAACGGCGTACGCCAGCCTCCACAGTATTAAGAGCTGGGCTACCTAATTATTTGAGTAACAGATTACTCGGTTAAATTATCAGACCAATCGGTTAACACGAAAATAATTTAGGGAAAAAGTGTCACCTCTGTTCCCATATGTGCCACTGGATGGGAGGTGATGGGGCAGGGAGGCTACAATGTTTAACAGGGCCAGAGTAATCGACCACAAAACAAGTATTTGATTATAATTGTTTGACGATTACTTGGTTAAATCGACAAGATCCGCAGTTATACACAGTATAAACAATACAAAGTTTTGCAGGTGTATCACAATGTCTTGGTTACCCACACAGGTGTATAGCTAATTTTGTTAATTGTTTGGTTAAAAAATCGATAATCGCAGGCAAAAAAGTAGCGTGATGATGCCTTCATCCAATCATGAACTGAAAAAGCATCGTCAGTTTTTTTTTGGTGGACAAGTGTAGACTAGACACAGTGTCTAGTCTACACTTGTCCACCAGCACCACGCAATGCAACCAAACGGAATGATGGAACACATTTTTACTTGTGCGCCCGTAGCAAAAGGCGCTGCTGCATGAATGGAAAAATGGAGAAAGAGAAAAACTTTTGGGCAAACTGCAAATAAGGAGCCCTGGCTACATGCCCATGGCATCGACACAAACACGGCGCCTGTGCACGAGGGGCGGAGGAATGTGTGGCCCTGAGATCGTTTTTTAATCAGCGCCTGCACGGTGCCAATAGAGGCGACTGCGTGACTGCGATTATAATCATGTCAGCCCTCATTAAAACAATGCGATGAAGCTTAAGATAGCACTGCGGGTACGAAGGCACACTGCCTGCTGGCACTGTGTATTGCAGTGACACTTTGAGAAAGGTTATTTACTGTATACGTATCATATTAAGGTGTTATTACGTCTTTACAATGCTGAGGAGGGGGCAGGGTACCGAGATGGAGCATTGGAGTGGCACTCAGAGGTTGGCTACTTTAAGAAGAGACATAAAGCCACATGATGATGAAAATCATGATGAGACGGTAAGAGCAGATATTGGATTTTGAGTGCAAAACTTTCAAGAGCTGAATATCTCGCATAAGGGGTAGCCAGGGTGAGGTGTGATTGTATCATATCAACATCAGCCATAACGACCTATTGACCTTGACATTGCAGATCTTTAAAAGACCATGAAAATGTATGTGTTCACACAAGTGCAGGTCAGGGCAGATCTCAGTTGACAGTCCTGAGTCAAAAATGGAAATTCCTCATTCCTTTGGCAGGAACCTCACTTGCCTGGAACAACCACTGTTGACTTGCACCAACTGTTGCAGCCAAAGCAGACTGATTCTCATTATAGCGCAACCTTTTCACACCAACCGAAGCACAACATATAATACAACCCGTATCTAAAATTGAGTCAGCATGCTGGAAAAGGAATGTTAAGTCAATGACGCAAACAACCAGATACTCAGTTTAGACTACATACAGTTTACGCCCAAGACAGGTTCAAACATCTATTGCCACTGCTGATTCGCATGGCCAGCAAATAAAACAAGTCACACACAACGTTCAAGGTCAAAAGGTTATTATGACCTATGCTATTAATAATGGCAAGCAGCACACATTGCCATGGCTTCTTTCTGCTCAATGCATCAGCTGTTGCAGAGTTGATAACTGACCTCCGAGTTCTGCACGGACTATCTTATCAGCACTGCCCTCTGGTTTCAGGTCTTCTCCTTGATTGCCAACCTCTGGGTGCCATTTCAATGCCTGCCTTGGCAATCTGCCCTTCTCCAACCTATACATGTGTCACCCATGACAACCTCCCTCATCCTGATTATACCTACAATACCTTCTAGCCAAGTTAATTTCCATATCTCCAAATTGCTTACCCTATCTTGTCATGGCTTTCCTAGCAGTCTCCACATGCACTTGAATTTATGTCCAGAAACTTCTTTGACAGTCATGTACAGACACAGTAAGAGCCCCCCAATTACCTTCAACAGACTAATGGGGAAATTGCTGAAAGCAAGCATATATTAAGGCTGACAATGGTACACCCACAACTGCCAGACTGGGGTGACAACGTGACCGTGGTGTATTTTTACAACATAATTAAGTATAATTATTGAATTATGTTGTCATAACAACCATTGCCTAAATATAATCTGACAGCAAACTACAAACTAACATTATAAACAATAAGCCATTGGATGGTTCTTTGGAAAGATATTTGTTCCAACTTTCTCATATCCCCGAATGTTTTCATGGGGACCCCACTACCCAGTCCACAGAAAAGCATATTTTACAATTGAAATAAAGTATCATATCAACATTAGCCATAACGACCAGAGTCTGAATGAGTCATTCAGACTCTGTCTTCTCGACAGACCTGTTCTCCATCTGAGGACGGCTGCTTGCGTTGTGGCCGAAACGTCGTGAGAATGATTTTATTATGTTTATTTGTATTATTTTATTATTTCCATTCTACGTGACTTTACCGAAAGAACCAAAAAGATGAATCCATGCAGTCACGAAAGCTTTAAATCGAAAAATGAAATAAATGAATTACAAATAATTAACATAGTAATGTGTAGCCAGTCAAAACACTGCTTGTTGAAGACCTGCCTATAGTATTCTTAGGTGTTTTCGGTAAAGTCACGTAGGTAAAACATCAAAATTAATAAAAAATAATAAAATAAAATAAAGATCACGACGTTTCGGAGGCAACACAAGTCTCCGTCATCAGGTGGGACAGTCACAGCCAGATCAGCTGCATCAAGTGAGGCAATGATTCAAGATGTAATCCCTTAAAAGCGAGTTGAGGGGGGAGGAGAGGGGGGGGGGGCTCATCAGAATGTGGTAGCCAATGAATGGAAAGTATCGGGAGAGAGGGTCCTTGCAGTCACGAAAGCTTCAAGTCTAGAATTACCTGCCTATAGTGTATAGGTCACGTTATGTGACCATACTTCATCACCTTGAATAGTGAAGGTTTGTGAAGGTTGGAGGAGGGCCAAGCCATGGTTAAATATCACTGATTTTCGTCATAGCCAGGAATCAAAGTTAGGTCACTGAGTTCATAACTGTGTGCTCACCAACGCATAACCGCAATTTGAATGTGAAATAGACAACATAAGTGTTCTTAGTAATGGGGAAAAAACACCTAGCTTAGTGATTCAACTCTGACGATTCAAGAAATAATTGTTTTTCTAATACCGTGATGACTGTATATTCATGGCTGGAGGTTTTTTTTTTACCCGAGTCAATCAAGTAAAAATATACATGGTGAAAATAATCGAGTTACACACGCAGAGTTCAATGTATGTTTCATGAGCATAGATATCACATCTAATCAATGAATTGTTACAACGCTGAAGTGTTTCATAAATTGTCTTATTTATGGTGTATTTAGATTTATTTTGTTGATACATATTTACTTTCACTTTTGTTGACTTTTCCGATTGTAATTGTTTTTATGATGAAGAATAGAAGCACCTTTGTTGAAAAGCAAAAAACAGAAAATTATTTCTCGACGAAAACCTGAGTAAAGAATGCCACAGTAAGAACAAGATAACACGTGAAAACACAGTTAAACGTCACAACAGCAGATGTTTCAGAGAAGCACATTAGCACTCACATTTAAACTTAACATTGACAAACAAGTTCTAGATTGTAACAACTTTCTTGTCCATGAAAGGATCACCGAGTCTCATGCTTTTTCAAGATGGTCCTGCCAAGTTGTTGCAGTGGGGGTCAATGATCATTATGCATAATTCCAACTGAGTAATTTGCAGATAAATGTAAAAATAAGAACCATGAAATGATGGCCTGCAGTTTGCGAAAGATGGCACAGGATGTTTATGGTTCATGCACCCAAGTGATGGTCAGGGAGGCCGCTTGTTTCGAACCGTGAACCTCTTGCAACAAGCAGCGAACGCGCCATAGCGAGGCTGCGTCATCATAACAGTAAACATAACAACCAGTTCTCGTGCAACAAAAAATAAATACGCACACATTCAAACATTACAAACCTCAAGTATAACAGCAGTTGTAGTGGAACTAATTAAAGCGCATTATTAAACATCATAAAGAGCAAATAAAAGTTGTCGAGTGCAACTAATTAAAGCACAGAGTTATCCGTCACGAATGGCAAACACAGTAAAGGCAAAAGACCTCAACAAAAGTTCAACACCCCAGGTCTCCTTTGGACACTCACCTGCTTTATAAAGTACACGAATACAGTTTCAGGCGATACACCATCTCAGTCAGTCAATAAAGCTGCCCTCTCTCTTCGCAATGGAGGGCCATTGCCTGAAACATTGGAGCCTACTGTATACGTCTCTCCTACGAGGAAGTGTTAATGACAAAGGCAACGTTGCTTTTAAGTCACTGCCCAAAACGTCCGCTTGTTTTACAATCTGAGACAGAATTTACAAGGCAGTGCTTGTTGTTACTGATCACGCAAGTGAGGTGTTGGTATACACAGCCGCTGCTGTAATTAAATTCCACTATTTGAAGTTTAAACAACGCTGGCCTGGCTGATGAGCTGTAGAGGCGCCAGACAGGTCTTTCACGCTACTGTGCATTAAGCAACTAGAGCCCTGACTAACAACGATGGCGCAATGCTGACTTTACGGTACATTACATTTCCACAACCCAAACCAACTCTGCCGTCTTGGTAACAGCCAGAGACGGGAGAGCGGCGTCAGTTGTGGTGACGGCACGTGCTCCGTCTCGTTATGACGTGCCCTACCAATGTGTTCTCTCTTGGCTCTAAAATAAAGTCTATTTAATTTATCGGTTTATATCCTGCGGACAAAGTCAACAGTGCACGATGACCTCTAAGATTTCACCATTTATGAGCACAGTCGTGAATAATGAATGAGAATTTACACAACGTAATGACTATTGCAAGGAGGGGAGGGGGAGTGGTGGCGCAGTGATTTGCCCACTGCTCTGTGAACCCGCAGACCGAAGATCAATTTCAAGCCACAGCTAACATCAGCGGAGATCGATGTTTGAACCAGTCCTTGGACTCCTATTTTTACCAATCCTGGCTGACCAACGTGGGCAAGTATGGCGAAATAATCCCCATGACTGTCACAGGACTGAGAAGGCCTCATCTAGAAGTCAGTATTTGGCATTGGGCTGCAAATCATTATTATAACTGGTTGTTACATCGCAGTACCGTGGGAGATGGCGACGGCTTGGAGAGGCCTTCATCCAGGAATCGACTGATCAAAGCTGATGATTAGAATGCTTAGAATTGGTTACCTACCCCTTACATCAAATTTTTACAGGTGATCTTTTTTTGCAGAGATTATAGATGTGTGAGAAACAAGCAATATTACTCTATAATAAAATTATGGTTTATTTTTATTATTTTATTATTTCCCTTCTACGTGACTTGACCGAAAGAACCAAGAAGATGAATCCCTGCAGTCACGAAAGCTTTAAATCGAAAATTATTACTCTATATTCACAGTATTATGATAACAAATAATGCCCTTTATCTTTCCAGGATAGCCGCAATGGATATCAAAATTACATTTTAAGGATGAATGTTTGGCCATTGCCGTGATAGTTTGGCTGATGCATGTGGGAGGAAACCGAAGAACCCGGAGAAACCATGAAGCGTATGAAAAATTAAAACCACTCAAAAGTTCTGCTGAGGGCCAACCATGGCGGGGGGAGAGGGGCCCGGGGCAAATCACACCGTGTGAACCCCCCCCCCCCAACGCCTTCAAACTAAACCGGAAGTATTATATCTGACACCATGACGTCAAAGCACGGGGCTTTTTGTGTTTAGTTTGTTTCCCTTGCCCAGCACTTCTAATTAGCACGATTGGCTACAGGCTACGTATGGTGGCAAACGACGTCTTGGTCGCGTTCGCTCCATTGGCTGTCACTCAGTCGTCAGTCTCCACCATCGCATATTCTTCTTTGACAAACGAGCAATTCCCAATCCCGCGAACGTTCTCAACAGTCGGGATGACTGTACAGGATTTAACTTTGCGAGTTTTGCTTAAATCTTCCTCATTCTGTCTCTAAATGTAAACTCCAAGCATGCGTCTCTTAATTCCTCTTTGTACATTTTTTCCTCGATAAAGTCCCAATTAAAAGCAATGCAACATTCAAACAAACTGAACGCAGCGTGGTCACGGTGCTGAAAAAAAACGCACGTTCATGTAAACTGCGGGGACTTGGTAAAAAAAGCAGAATCATCCATTGATGTGTTGTATTTATATGCGTCCTACGTCGATGCTCCCCGTCTTCACCAAACCCACAATGACCAGCGTGGCGATAAACCTCATTCAAATACCCCACCACGACCCATAGGGCTAGGGGACGATCCTCATCGACTAATTGAGTGTGCATGTCGTAGGAATTGTTTTTAAATGGACTGAGCGATGGCGCAACTGCGCTCTGAACCTGGTGATACGATTCCCGACCACGGCTAACATCAGTGGCAAATGATATCCTAAACTTCACCAATCCGCACCTAGATCAGCATGAAGTGTGGTCGAACACACCAGTCGATACGCACGGCGTGGGAACGGCCCTCAATGCAGCTGTGGATTGTCGCGTAACCGCATTGCAATCACGAAGAGCCGAGTCTCTGACACAACGAAGCTCTGGGATTATCACTCGTTCAACACAAACACAACTCGCTGTGGACACCCACAAACACTCAAACACATCGCGTCAATATAAACACACAAAGTTTAAACGTTTAACAGCTTCCCAACTAAGCTATGTCACGAGTCCGTATGTCTGTAAAGGGCAGGGGGGAGGCATGATACCTCTCTTAAAGACGCTGAAATAGGAACGAAACTTTCGAATTAAGTTGTTGCTTTTGAGGGAATGACGATAATGTACAGAGAACATTTCGGACAAATTCACCAAAAAGCTTTGGCGCAAACATTTGGAGCCGGCGATCAAAAGAGGGCTTATAAACGTGACCTGGAAGCTACACGTCGGCTGCCATGGTGGTAATCGATACTTCTGGAAACAAACCGCATGTTGACAATAGTTACAGAACCCAAAGCGTGAGCCACAACTTTTCCCATCTTTGACGATTGCTACTAAAACTTTACAAAAACGATTGTATAGGCCCGTAGCGCTTGGCCTATACATTCCCTACATCATGTACGCATAGCAACAAGGTCTTGACCAATCGCAGACACTCCGGAGACGGTCACGTGAGCGCGCTCAACCAAACGGCGCCGAGGAAAATTGTGGGGACGCCTATCCGCTGTATGAAAACGAATGCACTTAACCACCAGAGGTAACTTGAGGTAACGTCTGAAATAACACCACCGCCGCCGATTGTAACCGAGGAAACACCGCCACCATCATCTGAGCTAACCTTACGTAGCAGAGGTAACACATCAGCACCTCGACCACTGTCTGAGATAACTGAGATTATGCCTGATGTAACAACACCACCACTATGTAGCTAAATGAAGTTATACCACAATCACCACTGTCTGAGGTAACTGAGGTAATGGTATCGCCACTAACAATCACTAACCTGAGGTAACAGCTGAGGTAACACCGCACTACCACTACCTAGGTAGCTGAAGACCACCAACAACAACACCACTGTCTGAGGCAACACCACCGTCAAAAGTGAACCGAGTTTAACACCAGCACTACCGTCTAGAGGTAACCGAGGTGCACCAGTTCACCCGTACAAATGAGACTGACCTGGTCTCTTTAAGTCACCTGGTTAAACAAATAAACTTGTCTTAACAACACCACCACCATCACTACCTTAAGTAACCGAGATAACACGAACAACACAGCCTGAGGTGACTTGAGTTAACACCACGGACCTTAGGTAACACCACCACTACCTTTGAGAACTAAGTAACACCACCACCTGAGGTAACTCAGATAACCCCGCCATCCACTTAGTTACCCTTAGCCAACTGTGGTAACGCCACCACCACCACCTGAGGTAACTCAGATAACCCCGCCACCACTTAGTTACCCCTTAGCTAACTGTGGTAACGCCACCACCACCGCCTGAGGTAACTCAGATAACCCCGCCACCACTTAGTTACCCCTTAGCTAACTGTGGTAACACCACCACCGCGGCCTGAGGTAACTCAGATAACCCCGCCACCACTTAGTTACCCCTCAGCTAACTGTGGTAACACCACCACCGCGACCTGAGGTAACTCAGATAACCCCGCCACCACTTTAGCTGTGGAAACATCACCACCACCGCGGCCTGAGGTAACTCAGATAACCCCGCCACCACTTAGTTACCCCTTAGCTAACTGTGGTAACGCCACCACCACCGCCTGAGGTAACTCAGATAACCCCGCCACCCACTTAGTTACCCCTTAGCTAACTGTGGTAACACCACCACCGCGGCCTGAGGTAACTCAGATAACCCCGCCACCGCTTAGTTACCCTTAGCTAACTGTGGTAACACCACCACCACCGCGGCCTGAGGTAACTCAGATAACCCCGCCGCCACTTAGTTACCCTTAGCTAACTGTGGTAACGCCACCACCACCGCCTGAGGTAACTCAGATAACCCCGCCACCACTTAGTTACCCTTAGCTAACTATGGTAACGCCAACACCACCACCTGAGGTAACTCAGATAACCCCGCCACCACTTTAGCTGTGGTAACACCACCACCACCGCGGCCTGAGGTAACTCAGATAACCCCGCCGCCACTTAGTTACCCCTCAGCTAACTGTGGTAACGCCAACACCACCGTCGTTAGTTTATATTATTATCCACGGGTTCACCTGCTGCGGCTGCGGCGGCGGCGGCCTTCAGCGGTGTCGCCTGGCAGGGCCCCTTGCGGCGTCTCCTCTCGTCGCGAGTTCCCAGCCCCTGCGAGAGGGGAGGGGGGCCAGCGAACGCGGCGGCCATCAAAGAGCTTGCCGCGTGAGTGACGTCACGCGGGAATGACGTCACGCGCAGGGGGTGGGAGTAGGGGGGGCGACGTTTCGTCAACTCGCCCAGCGGTTTTTTTGCAACGTCACGTCGCGCGATGGAGTCCTCGTGACGTTGGGCTTGGATGACGTCACACGCAGGGGGTGGGAGAGAGATGGGGGGCGGGGCGCCGTTTCGTCAACTCGCCCAGCGGTTTTGTGACGTCACGTCGCGCGGATTTAGTCCTCGTGACGTTGGGTGTGGATGACGTCACACCCAAGGGGTGGGAGAGAGATGGGGGGCGGGGCGCCGTTTCGTCAACTCGCCCAGCGGTTTTGTGACGTCACGTCGCGCGGATTCAGTCCTCGTGACGTTGGGCATGGATGACGTCACACGCAGGGGGTGGGAGAGAGATGGGGGGCGGGGCGCCGTTTCGTCAACTCGCCCGGAGGTTTTGTGACGTCACGTCGCGCGGATTCATTCTGCTCGAAACGAGCTTCCTCGTGACGTCACCGCACGAGTGACGTCACGCAGGGAGTCGTTACACGCATGGGGTGGGAGAGAGAGGGGGGCGGGGACGCCGTTTCGTCATCTCGCACGGCGGTTTTGTGACGTCACGTCACTCGAGCCGAGCTTTCTCGTGACGTCAACCGCGTGAGGCGACGTCGTGACGTCACGCGGGGAACTTTTCCGGCCGCTGGTTCTAAATGACGTCACTCTCCCATTGTCATCCCCCATTGTTCGCGGAGAGGAATTGTGATGACGATTTCAACTTGTGCGTCTGACGGTCAACCCAGACGGTTCGCCCCGTGTTCTTGTCCGGGGAAATTGAGTTTTCAGGTCCATACGGCGTACAGCCGTTTCAATGCGGGCAAACACATTTTTTGTGTCAATTTGTTTGTGTTTCTCCCTTGCGATGGGACTTTGCAGGGTGAACGTTGAGATTTATAAGAGCAACGGGGGCTGACCAACAAGGTCTGAATTGGTCTGTCATTAGGTAGGCAGCACTGATAAGGGGTTGCCAGGTATGGGAGAACGACTCGGAATTCCTGACGAGCAGAGAATGCAGCAGCAGGAGGCACACACCACGAGCCGGCACGAACACTTGCCCAAGCTCTGTGGCCCTCTGTATATTAAGGTGTTATCGGCTGATTCGCGAGTTGTCGATGCACGTGGGAGGAAAACCGGAGCACGGGGGGGGGTGGCTGATGCTGTACTGCCTTCTCCTGGAATAGAACTGTAGCGAGATTTGGTAACGGTATTGTGTTGAACTTTATTGCGGTAAACTTTACAGTTCCGATGAAAGACCGAGGAGTTTTGACTGATACTTATTATGTTCGGGGTTGCTCTGTTGAAAAGGTGGCAAACCTTCAAGTTCCAAGTCCAAAAACATAATTCAACGCGGAAAATAACGAAATAAGACTTAAATCACAGCAGAACCACCGCATTGCAGGATAATTAAAGATGCACGGATGCATTGCAAAACTAAAATGTTATTAGAGCTTATTCCAAGTCATAATAATAGATAAAGATAAAAAAAAATTACACAAAAAACATGATACTCTTTTAACATTTATTCATCAAATGATTCTACATTCAATAACCACGTGTGAACAAGTATGAACCTTTAGATTCAGTCACTGGTGACGCCCCTTGAGCAACAATGACTGCAACGAAACGTTTCCTGTAACCATTGTTCAGTCTCTCTCACATCGCATTAGGAATTTTGGCCCATCCCTTCTTACAGAACTCCAACTCGGTGACATTTGGGGGTTGCCTTGCATGGACAGCTCGATTTAGGTCCTGCTACAACATTTCGATGGGGTTTAGGTCCGAACTTTTGACGAGGCCCATTGTAAAATGCGGAATTTCTTCTTCTACAGCCATTTTGTAGCTCTGCTTGTATGTTTAGGATCATTGTTTTGCTGCAAGACCCATTTTCGGATCAGCTTCAGCTCACGGATGGATGGCCTGACATTCTCCTCGAGAATCTTCTGATACAATGCAGAAGTTATGGTTGTGTCAATTATGGTAAGCCGTTAAGGTCCTGAGGCAGCAAAGGTTCCTCTGTTCAAAAGCAGTGTTTGGTTTTCGCCAAACATAACGTTTCTCAGAGTCCAAAACGTTCTACCTTTGACTCATCTGTCCAGAGAACATTGTTCCAGCAGTCTTGTGGATCATCTATATGCTCTTTGATGAACTTCAGACAGACAGCAATGTTCTTTTTGGAGAGCAGTGGTTTTCTCCTTGCTTTGCTTCCATGGACACCATTCTTGTTCAGTCTTTTTCTAATAACACTGGTCACACTTTTTCTGGCATAAGGTATTCCAACGGTTTTAAGGTAATTTTGGGGTGCTGATTCCAAACCTGGCATCAGTTTTTGTCTATCACATCAGGTTTTTGAGATATCAAATATTGCATTTTCAATAAAAACTGCAGAAGAAAAATATTAAATAAATGTGGATATCTACATAAAATGATATTATAAACACACTATCCTAAAATACAGCACCATATTTTAACACTAAAGCAGTCACTGACTCGCAACAACTTGCAATCATAAGTGACAGAGTTAATTTCGGGTAAAATCAATGAAAATGGGGTATGCCGATAGCATAAAAATGAGATGTGATAGAGTAAACCTGAGATAAGATTTGGAATCAGCACCCTGAAATTAGTCTAAAACAGCTGCAAAAGTCCAGGCCAGCAAAAAATTGTTTTTTTTTGTTGACCAGTGTAATCGAGTCATAAACACTCACATTCGCCAAGGTGAGTGGCCTGTAGATCCTTGGATGTTTCTCTGGGGTTCGATGCGACTTCCTTGATTTCTAGGTTTGTTCTTGGAGAGATTTTAGGATGATCGCTCCTGGGGAGTGACTGGTCTTGAACTTTCTCCATTTGTAGACTGTCTGACAGTGGGTTGGTGGAGCCTCAAATCGTTAGAAATGGTTTTGTAACCATTTGTGGACTGCTGAGCATCAATAACTCGTTTTCTGAGGTCCTCAGATTTATTTTGATTGTGGCATAACTTGTATGGCGAAGACCACACTGGCAAGGTTTCCGATCTTTATATAGGGTGGAGCCTCCTAAACTCACCCCTTAAGATTTACCTAAACACGTTCCTTCGGAGTGGGCAGGTAGGAACTTGGTTGGACAGGGCATTCGTGCAATCCGTGTCACGCGGCGCAAGCTGCGTGGGGCGGCGCGTTACGTGGTGCTGAGCCCGCCCGAAGCGCTCTATGAAATACAAATCGAGGGTGTGGCTATGCACGACAAATAATCCCTGGTGGGCAGTGTGGAACTGTTGTTCCTACCTGTATTATTTAAACACCTGATTCTAATTAATCCTTTGCGCTAATGAAACCAGGGATTCACTTACCTTTTAACATACCCTGAAGCTTAATTACTCATTGTTCATTAAATTTATACATTGTTTGAAATGCATGGAATTGGTTGCTATAAACTAGTAGGGGTGGGGAACGTCCGCCCCGCGGGCTGTATAAGGCCCGCAAAATAATTTGGTCTGACCCTGTCAAGGCAACCGCACGACACGAAATTCAATAAATCTAGGTTTTTTCATAGCAACATAAATTTAATTTTGTATGGCTGGCGAATGATGTTATAAATATCCAAATGGCCCTTGGCAGACAAAAGGTTCCCCACTCCTGTATACCATATTGGATATTTAAGAAAAGACGGGGTTGATTCAAGAAGGCTATCGTGGTAAAACTATGAAATTTCCATAATTATCATTGGGGTTAACAATGTTTTTCTCAGCACTAACTGCTACATGACATACTCTATATAAAATTATTATCAAGCTTAAAAAAAAAGCACTCCAACCCACCTTCTTACCTCATAATTTCTATCTGATTTTTTAACTGCCCCTGGTATAAATGATCGTGAAAAGCAATGTACCAATGTCTCTAAGGAACGTGTTTAATCATTGAGTACGGATGTCATATGGACACTTGATGAAAATATAACAAAACATTTAATGTGCAAAGAAGCAAGGAAAGACACATGCTTCGGATTACACGGAGACATAAAAAGGAGAGTGCGGATAAGACAACGTACACAGGTTAGGTACAGCAGACTGATCGTTAAGAATAGCTGGTGTAGGTAGGATACATCGCTTGTCGGGACGCTGACCGGTGGGTGATAATTATTGCTGAGTGGCAGCCAAGAACGGCCTGGTGGGTATCCACCATGGAGACAGCGATGAGATCTCGTGGGACCACGATGGATGGCGATGGCTTGGCGAGGCCTTCATCCGGCAGTGGATTGATCATGGCTGATGAAGATGACAACAAAACCACTTGCATCGCACGATTAAACGAATTGTTTTTTTTATTTTAACGTGTTTTCCAAACAAACAGCAATATATTATCAAAACAAAATGAGTGGACACGAGTGGGGAGATGTTTGGAGAAGGTTGCCCGATTATTCCCTGCTCCCAAACCCTGTACCCCTTTGGCTGAACCCCTAATCAGCTGCCTTCGTTAATGCACGTTTTCATTAACGAGGAACTCTACTGAGGGCCCGTGACACTTGCACACTGCACTTTCCCTTGCGCGGATTCTCACACCTCCATTTTTGTTCCTCCCCACACACCCCATCCATCATTCCGCGTTTACTAATCACCGCGATTCAGCAAAGTTGCACGTGGCAAAAACACGCAAAGGTGGTTTTGGGTACGAGGAGCGCAGTTCTAAAATCACCTGCACAGATGTTTAGTTTACATGCAGTGGCATAGTGTGGTTGGCATGGGCCTTGGTGCAAGGAATGAAATCGTGTGTCCTCTGTCCAAATACCTCCACCCCTCTTCGAAGCCCATCCCGTGGGCCCTGGCGCAGTTGCACACTCGATAGCTACACCACTGGTTGCAGGGCACTATGGGAGACGGCCCAAAATGCCGTGCTATGCGCGGGGCAGCTGGCTGTGTGGTTGTTACATGGGGGCGATCGGACAATTGAAATACATCAATACAGCTCTTCTCTAGTAACTACACACCTTGGCTGTGTGTCCTGGGCTGTCCCACATGAGCTTGCAGCTTTGTTAATAAAAAAAGACGTGTGAAAGTTGCAGTCAAGTGCGTCATTATGGCACTCTAGTGAGGTTGCCCTCACGTTTTAAAATGTCAATAGTAACATCACCTTACTGAAACTTTGCACACGTACAACCCATGTCAGTTCATTGCTGGATGGTTAGCCTCCCCACGCCATGCAGGTCGTGGAGGTTATTTCACCAAACTTTACCACGCTGCTCAGTACGGGTTCAAGGAGGGAGCATAGACGTGGTAGTCTAATAGTATAATAGTACAGAGCAGCGAAAAATTGTTAACACTGCCCTCTACTGCCCACCACACAGCGTAGCGTGACAGCCACACACTTCTTCTCACGAAGCTACAACCTGGTGTCGGACATACCCAGGACACACAACCTCGGTGTCTACCAGAATAAAAGCGCCGTTGTTTTGGCTGCGTGGTCGTTACCAGCACCGCCCGTCATCCCCGCCAACCAAGATGCAAAACCGAAGACTCCCAGATCCCCGAGCGAGTGTGTAACACACGCGAGCCTGTGTGTCAGGCACACCGAGTGTGTAACACATGTTACTGTGTAACACACAGCGTGTAATACATGCCAGTGTGTAACAACGCGAGTGAGTGTACAACACACAGCGAGTGTGTAACACATGGATATCACATGTTGATGACACGAGACAGCTTCTGCACGCGGTTCAGCAGCAAGTCGCCCTTCTTGATCGTCTCCTGGTACTGCCAGTTCTTGCTGTCTGGTCTGATACACACACACATTAAGAACCATTAGCCTGCGAGACTGCTGGGGCAATTGCTGTTTGTAGTTCTACAAAGGTAACACACAGGGGATGGTGTTGCAGGATGTTTCTGGATGCTACGGAGGCTGTAACGGCTAGCCTCAGACTTTCCTTCCAGCAAGTAAGTTCTGCTATAAAGCTCATACTTTCACAATATTCTCAGGCTGAGTTTTGTCTCGCCGGCACTTATCCCACCAGTGTAACATCCTCAAGGCCCTTTGAATGGGTAGACCAGCACAAAGAAGCACAATTTATCAGGTATCCGACACAAAATCCACATCTGTTTTCAAACTCTGATGTGTATATTTTGCTGCGTCTGTACCTCGGTTGTGGAATTCCCCAACGAAATTCGTTTAACTGACAATGTGGATAATTTTAAGTCGTATCTAAGACACATTTCTTAATTCCGTTTATTCTACGTAGCTCTCCTTCTCTATTGGCCTTTCCTTAACCTTATTTTTACAAGGCGCCTTGAGACATTAGTGGAAGGCACCTTAGAAATAAATAAAAATTATTATTATTTTAAAGAACTGAGACACCCATTTGGCCCCTGGTCATTGTGTGTAGCAGTTAGGCTTTAGAGAGGCTTTTGAAAGGGAGATTAGGTCATTTAAATAAACACAATTCCATTGGTGTACACAAAGCACATGTAACCGCGGCCCCACTTCTCTCATTCAGGAGTTAAAGACAGGCGGCGCCACTTGCCTGTTTGTCTCCACAATCTCGTTCACTTTGTCGATCTTGCAGTGCAGCCTCCCAGCCGCGATGAACCGTGACAGCTCCCTGAGCACAGAGAGACAGAGACATATTTTAAAGTAGGTGACAGCCACTGATATTAGGATTGCTTACTTCCGGATTTTTGCATTGTAAAAAAAAACGCGTGTACATTTTTTTTTTTAATCGACTATCGGTCCACCAACCATTACCAACAAGCAATGATGAGTGTGGTGAAATATGCCCAATGACAAGACACACTATGATTATCCCATCATCCAGCAGTGAATTAATAATGTGTGCTGGTGTCACGGTCCAAATTTCCAATACCATTACATCTCAAGCATTCGAATGGGCACCCCCAGTGTCAGCTTTCCCTGTGCAGCTACAAGCTGACTCAGCACCATCCTTGCAAGTGGTCCATAGGGGGCCATAATTGCTGCTGTGTCATGCCAAGTGAGCAATTTGACAGGAACCGTACATTTTTTTCAAATATATTTTGCATGCAATGGGTGTAACGATGCGACGTGAAGCGACGATCAATGACGTACTGGTCGACGAACTCGACGCTGACGCCGAACGCCTGTGCCATGTAGGAAAGGGTGAGCGAGCGGTACGACTCCAGCAGCTGGCTGTAGGCCAGGATGCGCATCTCCCGCACGTAGTACTGGTAGTGCGGCGCAAACAGCCGGTCGGCCTTCATCTCCTGCTCCACTTTGGCTGCACATGGGGGTGGGGAATGGGAGGGGGAAACCAGGGTACAGCTCGAACGGCGGATGGCGAGCAGAAGGTGGCAGCTTGCACCGTTCATTGGTGCACGTTTGTGGTTTTTATTGAGTGTGTGGGCACAGCTGGGGATTCTGTGCGGTGTGGTGTCGCTGCTGTGAGAAGGAGGTTGAGTAAGGTGAAGGTCATGTGCATTTGGGTTGAGGGATGCGAGCGAGGAGTTGGGCCGTGTGTGTGTATATCGGTCAGTCAACCCAGGGCACCCAAGTCCTGTGACCTCCTACCAGCAAGCCTTCAACACTTCACGTGACCTCAAGGTGCACCTTGCCTGGCACAAGCGTCATGGTGACATCACCGCCACTTAGTGGCGAATGGCAGTTGTGTTTGTCGTGTGAAGTGGGACGAGTTGGAAGTATGGCAAGTTTGTGATGGTGTGAGATTGAGGTGGGGTGAGGTTGTGTGTTGAGGTGAGTGAGGTGAATTGAATAGGGCAGAGGTGGTGAGTTTGGGGTTGGGGGAAGTGGTGGGTGTTAGAGGTGCTATGTCTGGGGCAGCACAAGATGACGCAGGTAGAATTGAGAACCCAGTTAAATCACAGCTCAGTGTATGCAAGTCTATGTATTGGTCTCTCCGATCCTCGGTCTATATGATTCTATAGGTCTCAATGTAAATCACTGGTAACTGAACTGAGGCCATCAACTCACTACACCTGCTTCTGAAAACAGGGTTTAATCACCATCGGGTGAAACCCGGATTCAAGCCAAGGATCTCTGAAATGCTGGCTCAGTGCATCTGACCTCTTAGCCACCTCGTCTGATGTGGCCGCGTACATTTAAGCAGCTGTGCTGACGAGGTGTGCGCACCGCCACTTACCCAGGGACTGGAAGAAGGAGGCGTAGTGGCACTCGTAGAGGGAGAAGAGGTACTGGCGCACGGCCGGCAGTCCGTGCAGCACCTCCAGGATCTCCGCACCCTTAATCACCTGCGCGAGGGGACAGAGGACGGCACAGCTAAGCAGGGTGGGCCCTTACACGATAACGCCAGTCTTACAACCAAAACACAATGTCGATTTACACAGTGGTGTATAAATGCAACCGCATTTCAAGGCGATGGACAGAAACAGCGAGCAAAGATTTGTAGAGGGAAAGGGACTGACATAGGTAAAGGAAAAAAAGTCAAGGTCTTGAGCCTGGATTTGAATAGGAGCATGGAGTGAACATAATGGATGGCTGGGATGAGTGAGTTCCAAACTGCAGGGGCAGCAGAGGGGAATGAGCGACCTCTCATTAGGCCAAGGTTGACTGGGAGCTTCGACAGAAATCCTTAGTTGCTGGAGCAGGAAGTGGTTGGAGGAGAGTAGAGTGCAATGAGAGGGGAAATGTAGGCAGGGGTGAGTCCCTGGAGGAACTCGAAAAGTGCGAGTGTGATCTTGGAATTGATCTGGGTTTGTATTGGGAGCTACACACATTCGGTCACACCCCCACACCTACTCTCCCGTCACACACATCGTTTCCCTCACACCGCCACACTCGCCTTCTCGCGCAGGTCGGGCCTCTCGAGCGCGATCATGCTGACGTAGACGGTGTGCGTGACGAAAGTGCGGTAGTCCATCAGCTCGTACGATGTGAAGGTGGACACTGTGTCCAGGAAGAGCTCGGCAGCCCCCTTGAAGTCGCGGATCGCCAGCAGGTACACGCCCTGGTACACCTTCAGCCGGTTCCTCCGGTCCCAGTCACCGCCCTCCTCTATGAGGCTGCAAGCGTAGGCAATCAACACAAACACCACCACAATGAACAAGGGTCACCACAAGAGCAGTCTGGCAGTTTACATCCTGTTTATCGCAGTTTATACACGTGCGCGACACTGGGCAGTTGGAGGCAGCCACCCTCTAGGAACAACAGAGGATGGAGGAGCGACACTAGCAACAACAAGCAGAATCCCGGGTGGCTAAAACGCAGCAAGTTGGCAGTGGGCAGCAAAAGGTAGTGCATCTGCCAGTCATCTCGGTCAGTCAACCCTTAACAGTCTAGTCTGTGATGTGTGTGTATTCGTAGCACGGAGCGCTATCTACTATGCCTCCACTCCGCACGCACACGGATAAATATATACGTACACACCTCTTGGCCTTGTCGATGTTGCGCGTGATGAGGTCATTGTCAAGGTAGAAGAGGCCGATGCGGATGAGGTAGAAGACGATGTCAAGGCGATGGCCCAGTGCCACCGTCTTTTCAAACGTCTTGCGGAAGGCGGTGAGGCTCGACTCCTGCAAGGGAGCAGGGCGGCGTCACGGAGCGGCAGGACAACACACGGCCCACGGTATCAAGGACACACACCCGTTAATTTGACTACGAACACGGATTTAGTCTAATGACGTTAAAGACGGAATCCAAAACTCATGAATGGCTGCCCAGCATCGGAGGCAAGGTGTTAATATTATAGTTAGTATGACTGTTAGTGTTTGGAATGGTGTTACATGTTGGTATTAGGACAAGAACATGCGATTGTATAAAAATAGGTGTTAGTGCTTGTGCCAGTGTCAGCGCTGGCACTAGCCCATCAGTGCACACTCTCACCTTGTCCCCGATGCGCGACAGGTGCTCTGCACGTGCCAGCATGGCGTCGCGGATCTCGCTCTCGCCCAGGTTGCGCTCGGCGTCCTCCAGCGCTGCATCCAGCCGCGCCAACTCCGCCTCGTTGGCCGCGCGCATGCGGGCGAGGAGCGGCGCGTCCGGGCGCCATTTCAGATCACGGCAGACTTCCTCGTAGAATGGCGCCATGTCTGCGGCGAGCACGCAATGCACAACAATTTCCATCGTTTAGCGAGTTGGATTTTGCAGCCGCTTGTGATTTGAGTGCAGCTCTTTCGGGTCAGGTCACGTGTGGAGCATTTCTTCCCTGAAGCTTTCGCCACGCACTACTGCAGACATCTTCAATAGTTTAACTCAACTTCAATTCCCTCTTTTCTAAATTTGACCTTTTTTGGCAGTATCAAAGTATGAAAAATAAGAATAGGTTTTAGCCTTTCTGGCAATAAAACACGTGTTAGGATTGTGATTTAAAGCTTTCGTGACTGCAGGGATTCATATTTTTGGTTACCGAAAGAACCAAGAATACGTGTTAGGATGATCAAACACCAAATAGAAACCTCTTGCAAAAAATCATGTCTGCATTAACCACATGTACTTGTTGTGAAAGTGCAAACAAAACATGCTCTGATAATATATGCATTTTCCTCGAAACGTATTGGTCTGCTCATCGCGAGCTATAAATGCTGATAGTGCATTGTCTTAGTACTGTTCGCCTTTTGGCGTTGTTCTCTGACACTGGTGAGACTAGGCCTTAAAAAGGCCAATCAGTTTCATGACAATGCCATATATTATAATCAGAGCATGTTTCGTTTGCACGTTCACCACAAGTGCGTGCGGTTAATGCAGACACGGTTCCTTGCAAAAGGTTTATATTTCGTGTTTGAACATCTTAACATCTCCTGTTGTATTGTCAGAAAGGGTAAAACCTATTGCCTCCTTTCAGTTTGCCCACAGTAGCGTATGATACAAGCTTGAGAAATGACATGCGCAAAAGGCGGCCTGACCCGAAACACCACACTTCAATTCAAATCATGTTAAATAGGCGCACGGCACTGTGTTGATATTTGACACGTCCTCTTCTCCGAGACATGTTATCCCTGATTGTGCCATCGGGCGTCATGTCATAATACAAGATCTCTAGCAAACCAGTAACAACCCCTTCGTGTTGAAGAACGGCCCACCTAAGCGGATAACAAGCGCTGGGGGCATCACCTCATTTAGTCTGCCACCGAGTGATGCTGGTTAAACGACAACCAAACTGATATTTGTTTTACGATCAAAGCTGAGATTTAGACCATTTAAAGTGCCGAACCAAACTTAATGCGATTTTTTTTGTGCAGTCATCGGTGAGCAGGCTGACATCATTAACTAGCTATACTTGAGCACCTCAATTCATCACAGGCAGATGCGCAGATCATGAAGCAGTTAATGATGGTGATTATGTTGAAGACATTTCTGTTGAAAATTAAAAAGCATGATGCTGGCTGCTAGTGGTGATGATGGTAGTGATGATGATAGTGGTGGTGTCGTGATGGTATCGTAATAGTGGAGATTAAGGTGATGATGGCGGTGATGATGATAGCAGGTCAGACACAGATTATTCAATCTATCTGTGCAGATTTGTTTTATAACCTCTTTCCCACGTGAGTTATAACATTCCAAATATAGACGTGGGCAAACATTCATTTGCAAACCTCTCCTAAAAAGTAGTTTTTAGACTCAGGTTTTTCTGGACAAAAGACATTTAGTTTGTATTAAGACCCAGTGAGGCATTTCGTGGATTAACAAAAAAAAATGTATGTGCTGTTAAGTGGAGAGCGGTGGCGCAGCGGTTAGCACACTTCTCTGCCATAACCACAATGCGTACTATTAGCCCGAAGAAAGCGGCGGATATTCCACGTTACCATGACGGGTTCTTCAGAGACAAACCCCACGCGAACTCCACGCTGGTCAACGTAGAAAAAGTTGTGAGAGACCGAGAACCAGGGGTTGTAAACCGTGGTTGACTATCGATTCCCCGCCACAGGGGCTGACAGTGGCGAGTGACGTTTGAATGGATCCCGGCCCCCAGCCCTTTCCACTCACCTACACCAACCAGCAGTGGCTTGAGAATGACTGCAATTTGTTCGGATAAACTATAAGCGAACCCCTGTTTAAAAACAAAAAAAAATTAACTTTGAAGCGAATCCAGAATCGGGGCCTTACGCAGAGAGGGAAAGCCTCGGTCTCGCCTGGCCGGCCCGCCCGCCCGCGTTAATGCCGACTCACCGTGCCGCTTGATCGCGTCCATGAGCTGCGTCTTCACCGCCTCGTCGTCCCGGTGATCGTCCAAGCTGAGCAGGAACTTCCACTGCGCGATCTGCAAGTCGGGGTTCTTGGGGAGGCCCTCCTCCTCCAGGTTTTCGATGGGCATCGCGACGGCTGATGATGGCTGAGTTGGTGGCTGCTGCTGATGATGATGATGGAGAGCGGGGCGGCGTGACGTCACAGCGGAAGTGACGTCGCGCGTTACCGTCAGCAGGTCCCGACGCCTCAACGCACGAGGACATTGATTGTGCTCATACTGGTAGGAACGAAGTGGACCAGACCACCAATAGATTAATGTGTCCGTCCGTCCGTCCGTCCGTGGGAGGGGTGGTGTTGAGGGTGGTGTTGGAAATGAAAGACTACGAGTCTTTAAATCTCACAGCGTTTCTTGTCAAAACAAACACTTTTAATTAACGTTACACTAGAATACAGTAATTTTTTCTTTAACTCCTCTATACCCGGTCGATATCCCTGTACCGGTACTAAGTATTATTCCTACCAGCCCACCCCGCAGGGTCCTGTTTATTAGTGTGGGGGCGGGGTTTGTTTCTTTCAAATGGAACACATTTTTTTTTACTAATTGGAGATTAAAGCGATTATACCTGCGTTGGCCGCGGTGCACAAACACGATGAGGTTATTTAGGTTATTTGGAAGGTATAAATGTCCATATGACATACCTGTCAACGCCTTATCTCAGTGTAATTCAGACCGTATTGGTCATCCCGTGCCCTTATACATCTTAACGTTCATCCCACAAAGTCCCATCACAAGGGAGAAACACAAATAGACAATTATTATTTTTACCCGTATTGAAACGGCTGTACGCCATATGGACCTGAAAACTCAATTTCCCACTACAAGAATACGGGGTAAACCGTATGGGTTGACATCTATGCTATATCTATGTGTCTCTATGGGTCTCAATGTATCTCTATGGGTCTCTATGGATCTATGTGGGTCTCTATGGATCTCTATGGGTCTCTATGGGTCTCTATGGATATATGTGGGTCTCTATGGATCTCTATGGGTCTCTGGCTATAATACCTGTCAACCTCTTATCAGTGCACTACCTTATTCCAGACCAATTCAGACCTTGTTAGTCACCCGTGCCCCTTATACATCTCAACGTTCATCCCAAATTCCCATCACAAGGGAGAAACACAAACAAACAGGCAACACTTTTTTTGCCCGTATTGAAACGGTTGTACCCTGTATAGGACCTGAAAACTCAATTTCCCTGTACAAGAATACGGGTAACCCGAATGTATGGGTTGCCAGGTATTATCAATATCGATTAAATATTTACTGTGGAGTGGCGGTGTTCCCTAAGTGATAGCTATAGCCTCCTATTGCCTATTGTAAACGCAGAAGTGGACTCGCCCTTGCCTGCATGCGTGACAAGTTCAGTATTTCTGTGCCTCGTTTTTTGCGGGGTTTACTGTCAGTTTATTGAATTTCTAGCTCAGTTGTTTTTTTTGTCTTTCAATAGGGGTCTAACCAATCTGAACCCCTTGGGGTTGACATGTGTTTTCATTCCTGGGCCCCATGATCATCTTCCGTGGGTTCATAGAGGCTCTCCAAACGGCACATGAACGTTGGTCGTTCAGTCCCCCACCTCATTGGTGTGTGGCCACGTCCCTACTGGCCAGGCGTGGTGCTGGCCACCCACCCCCTCGTGTGCCGTGGCGGCCTTCATCGGTCCTCGTTAACAGCACTTGCTCCAACAGTCATTCTGACCATGTCTGATTTGTAAATAATGATGATTTGTAGTGAGTTGACGGTCTCAGCCCAGCCACCAAATCTTCATCATCATAATGATCAGCCATGTGAATCTGCTGCTGGATGAAGACCTCTTCCATGTTGTATTGGCAATGGGGGTTGTTTAACCATACTTCACCAGTGCGAGTTGGTGAAGGAAGGGGGGGGAGGTGACCCAGAACCGGTTCATATATCACTCGCCACTGATGTCAGTCGTGACCTGGAATCAAATGCAGGTCACTGGATTCCATAACGCAGTGCGTTAACCACTGCGTTACCGCTCCATCCCCAGCCTGAATTAACTTTTACTTGGTGACCAGGCTGAGACCATCAACTTACCACACCTGAACATTTGGATTTAATCAGAGGCGGCTGCCTGGATGTTAACCCAGGTGCTCAACGATGCCGGCGCAGCACTCTGTCCTTTGGACCACTCAGCCACGAATAGAAGTATCTTTTGGGAGCAAGGGAGACATACGGACCTACGGGTCAGCTGAAGTTGTCACAATACACTACAGTCCGCAAGTGGAAAAAAAAATTAACCCGTAAAAACAAAGTTTTTCACTATAAATCCTTTATATGCGTGGCGGCTCGAGTCCTCTCGTCCTCTGGCTTGAGATGGCTGCCACCTATGGGTCAGATGATTGCCTGCCACCATTAAGCAATTGGTAATTAAATATAATTTTTTGTTTCCTAAAAAGTGTAAAGTTATGGGAAAAAAATTTCACGAAAATAAATTGTCACGCACAACGAGTCTGTGGTGCAAAATGTCAGCTCGATTGGATCACGGGAAGTGGGTTAAAAAACGACCGAAAGATTCGCACGGTCGTAAGCGCGCAAGCAAGCAAGTGAACTTAATATAAAGGATTTAAAAAGGTTGATGTGATTTCCTGCTCAAATGATAATTGAGGCATCATCATTTCTCATCTGTTTTCGCCCCTGAGCCAGCGGTGTAAATGTGTTGCTGAAATAACCAATGAATGTTTATATTTTAAATATTCATCTCCATGTGGTCACTGGTGATCGCGTGAGATCATAGTCTGCGTAGAACCTTCGAACAAAGCCAAGAGACCACTCGGATTCCAAACACACATCTATGTTAAACGAGTTTGTTCTCTGATGCTGCGTTGGCAGTGGTGCATAGGTATATATATATATATATCAAAACACACTCAACACATTCCTCAATAAAGTAACAAGATATATATCACGGTCGATATTGCAGGCAATGACCCTTCTTCAGAGCAGAGAGATCTCATCTTCAATGTTTTAATATTTTAATAAAAATGAAAAACACGCGCACACCAAGCAGGGGGGATAACAATGTCGAAACGCCACAGCAACATCAAGCAAATCAAACGCATGTCCTAACATCGCGACAGCTGGACTAATACTGTAGACCGGCGGTCCCCATCCTTTTTGGCACAAAGGGACCGGTTTCGTGGAAGACAATTTTTTCACGGACCGGGGGGGGTGTCATCATTGGGTCCTTCCCACTTTTCAAAAAAGCTCTCCAGCGACGTTTGTTTTTTACTCATTTGGCTACTAGGGGTGAGAGCTTGTGGGCTTACCACAACTGTGACTGAGACACGTGCGCAGTGCGGGAAAGAGGCGCGGATGGAAGTGGTAAATCAAATAATGGACTCACCGCTAACCTCCTGCTGTGCGGCCCGGTTCCTAACAGGCCACAAAAGAATTACTCAATAAAAAAAAGAATGTGGGTCACACATCTAAAGCAGAACCATTATAGTGGCTATTTAGGTCTGCTCCTCGACGTTGGCCAGACGTCTTGGAAGAAGTGGGTGCGTACCCCAACGCTTTACCCCACCACATCGCCTGTGGTGTTTCCCATTTACACTGCTGGCTGCCTGTGAGCCAGCACTGAAAGGCCGCAGCGGGGGTTGGTCGATCACCGCACACAAATGTTGTGAAACCCCTTCTACCCGCCGTGGCAACGTACGGTGCAAAATCATTTCAACATACATACGTGCACCAGCGCTGCCAACGCCTGATATTTGATACAGCCCAGAGGTCGCAAACGGGTTTTGATTCCTTACCCGTACCCGTACCCGGCCGCACCAGGGTCGCAAATGGGTACGGGTAACCGTTCCCTACCCGTACCCTACCCGAAATGAGTGACAAACGGTTACTCACCAGTGACACACGACCTACTCGTACCCGTACCCGGCCGCACCAGGGTCGCAAACGGGTAACCGAGTATCGGGTACGGGTATCGGGTACCCGATTGCGACCTCTGATACAACCCCACCCATGTTTTCATGATATCCGTGACCCCTGGAGTATCTTTGGTTCTCGTGCTGATGCTTGCTTTGCTAATGCCTGGCAGGACCGCCACCTGACGATAAGTTACCATCTTATTCACCTGTCGTATTATATTGTTGCTGTTGTTGTTCGCACGCCCAGCATCTACGCAGCCCAAACCGAATCATGACCAGCTGGGTAAATCAATGGGAAAAATGGCCTTGGCCCACTAATCTCAAGGCATACATTGATAGAAGAGGGAGGGAGGCGGCGGGGGAGGATCTAATTTTAGCCCGACCCACCGCGGATTTCAATGTCAAAAAACGGGTGCCAAACTTGACACATGCGCCTATCCTTAGCGTCTCATCTGCAGCCCAGCCAGAATTGAATAAGTTGGCTGCTTATTACAATAATTCGGAAGTAAAATGGCCGTGATTTCACATCAGCAGCCCAAGGACATGTTTACCATTACGTATGCCTGCTACTCAAGTCAAGTCGGGCTGCGGATGGGACGCCAACCTCTGGCAGAACAACACGCTGGGCCAAACGAAAAGACGCCAAAGTCAGGCCCTCGTGTCCACCTTTGCCACTCCGGCCACTAGCTTGTACTGGCCACGGGTCCGCCTTCTCTTCAGGACCGACGCCACGGCCACCCCTCCCATGACCAGCAGGGCCATGCCGCTCAGAGCCACCAGCACCTCGGCGTTCACGGGTGACCATGGCCTTCCCCGGGGATGGAAAACTTTGAACTGGACACGCGCGCTGGTGGAGATTTCCGTGGTCTGCAACAATTCTTCGTGGCCAGTTGTCCCCTTCCCGTGTTGGTGCACCGTCACCACGTCTGAGTGAGCAGTGGGAAAGGTTGCGTTCGGATCGCTCTGCCCATCGTGCACTGATGACGATGATGATGGTGATGATCTATTCGGTGTTGGTGATGATGATGGAGCTGTTGGTGACGATGGTGGTGGTGGCAATTGTAATGGTGATCGTGGTAGTGATGCTGATGATGACAATAATGGTGGATTTGGTGTTGATGATGGTGGCAATTGTAATGGTGGTGATGGTGATGATAGCGATGATGCTGCTGCTAACAATAGCGTTGATGATGATGATGATGCAAGTATTGGTGATGGTGGTGGTGATGATTTTGATGCGAATGATGATGATGATGGCGGGGCTGGTGATGATGGTGTTGGCAGTTTTGGTGGCAATGGTGGTAATGATGACGATGGTGGTGGAGGAGGAGGAGCCAGTGGTGGTGGTGGTGCTGTTGATAGTAATAGCACTGCTGGTAATGGTGGTTGTGATGATAGTGGTGGTGATTCTGATGACGATGGTAATGATGATGGTGTTAACGGTTGCGATAGTGATGGTGGTGATAATATTGAGAGCATCGGTGATGATGATGATGATAATAGTAGTGGTGATAATGGTGGTGATAGTGATGATGATGCTGATGATAGTTGTGGTGATAGTGATGATGCTGATGATAGTGATGGTGGTGATAGTGAGGTTGATAACAGTGGCGTTGTTCGTTGTGATAATGGCTCTGGTGCTGATGTTGTTAGTGCTGCTGATGGTGGTGGTGATGATGATGATGGTGGTGATAATGGTGTACTCATTGTACTCTCGCCCCCTACCTCTGTTTTTCTCTCAGCGGGGTTACTGAATAAACTACTTAACGTATTCCTAATTGAAGAACGTAAAGTCGCGCTATCCTCATTAGTTGCAGGGGCATTATCCACTCTATCGACATCCAAGAGCTTGGCGGAAGAGCGGGGGGCGTTTGAGTTAGTACCAGAGGCTGGGTCCCCAATGGAGATTACGATTGGGAGGTCAGCGCCTGAGACCCTCTCTCCATTGATGGTGTCGCTCGGCCAGGTCACGCCCGTGGACGCAGTGGAAGAGTCCGTTCGGAGGCTGTGAGAGGCGTTCATCGCTGCGATGAACGAGTCAAGGTCAAACATGTCTACAGAGGGACACACAGAGAGAGAGAGATGGTTTCAAAGGGTTACGGTGGACACTTATGGCCATGTTCCGGTCATGAGGCATCACATGGAGAAGTCACGCGCTCGTACCCGGATTGCACTCTTGATTTCATGCTCACATTTATGGACCTAAAACAACAACCACAACAACCTCACTGAGTCTCGCGATTGATTTTCGGATGGGAGCTGCCAAGTTTTCGCAGTCGGGGAGCGATGCAGCTGAATCGCTCACGCGCGTGCACGTCTCTGCAACCAATTTGCAAGCGGTCGCGAGTAGCTGCTCACGGCAGAGACGCAGACCTCTTTTCGCGAGCGGCGATCTGCCCAGAGATCGACAGCGGCGCGTGTCATCTCGTGCTGGGCGGCAGGGTATGTTAGTGCGTATGTTGCACTTCTTTCGCACCGTACGGAGCCAACCGTGCGAATCGGAGGGTGGCGGTGGCGGTGGTGGCGGCGCAGTGGTGACACACGAGCCTAACAGCTAGAAAGGCCCCGTGTTTTCGTTTCCCGACTCGAGCGTCTTTCTGTGTACGGCATCTGTGTGTTACCCCCCCCCCCCCCCCCGTTCTGCAGAGTGAGCGAGAGTGTGAGTGGACGTGTGAGTGAGTTAAATGTGCGTGGTGTTTGTATGTTCTCCCCCTGTTCTGAATTGGGTTCCTATTGGCTTGTCCGGTTTCCTCCCACAGCTAAAAGAGACAATGTAGCCGGTGTTGGCCAAAAAGCACATCCCATTACGGAAATTACTCCCGAGGGATATACACACAGCAGAAACATTGTCCCTTGCTGCAAACACTTGGCAGGACCCTCCTATCGCAGCGAAATGTTAACTACCCCGCCTGGTATACAGGAGGTCGTGAGTTCGATCCCGACCCTGACACCTGTATATTTGGAGTTTTGCGTGGTCTCCCCGTGGTCGCGTGGATTAATCTCCGGGTCCTCCGGTTTTCCCTCCACGTTTACAATCAACATGCATTTATATTCTTAGGTTTTTTCGGTAAAGTCAAACCACGACGTTTCATAGGCAACACAATCTAGAACATGCATTTAGATAATTTGGCTGCTATAAAATGTCCACTTCGTTGAGCTATCATTTGTGATAGCCATGTCGCTTCTGAAAAGGAGCTTTCTATGTCAGTGAGGCCTTACCTGGTAAAATAAAAATATCAAAACATTTTTATTTCAAAATAGAAAAAGACTCTTGAGACTTGGTAAGTCTCTCCTGGGTAAACCAGCTTAATAAAATTATAATTAATCGGTCGTTAGAATCAGGTATACAGCTTTTTAATTCCCTTGTTGCGCAACTGGTAGCTCAGGTGCGGACAAAGCAGTTGCAGGCGATTAAGTTGCATGGTCTGGTTACGCAACTGGACCCGCCTTGATGTATATCAGGGTCGTGAACCGGTAACCGTTTTCATAACACATTACTGGTTCCGAAAGTCGGAAACCAGTATAACCTGATTGACCATTCCCCGTTGTTTTGAACTGGCACGCCAGGAGATGGAGTCGAACCGGGGACCGCTTGATTGATCAGAATCTGATTAATACAATTGGCACGTACAAGTAATTACATGTTTGGAAACGTGACGATGTCGTGTGGTGGAGGGAAAACGACAAGAACGTTGATATAAAACCACTCCCACCACGCGTGGCCCTCACCAAAATGTGCATCATCGGCTCCGAAAGCCTCCGCGCGCGTTGAGTGATTACATCGAGCCGGTTGTTTAATTTGTGGGGTGTACGTCGAGAATGGGTCGGTCACTCGCTGCTCACCGTTGAGGCACCGCAGCATGTTGCAGGCTATCTCCGCCACCTCCTCTTGCGAGTAGTCCTGGAGCCACTCGAAGAACCACGTCTCAAACCGCTCGTCGAAAGGGGGGCTCAGTGGGGGGCTCGAGGGCAGAACGCGGGCCACAGACTTCCAAGGGGGAGCTCTGTCAAAAGCCCTCGCAGTCGGTAGCGCTGAGCGGGTGTGGGGTAAGGGGTGGAGGGGTGGGGGGAATATTTCAGACCGGCGTGGGGGAGGGGGGGGCGGTCGTCATCCAGCAGTGGATTGAGCAAAGAAAGGGCTGACCACCCGCTCCCTGGTGTGTCGTACCGACTTGCATCTGTGCTCGCTAACAGCACTTGTGTAATGACCGGAGAGTCTACCTGCGGTGTGGGTGGACTAGTGGCCACGGGAGGTAATGACAGGGGAGTCAGCCTGCAGTGCAAATGGACTAGTGGTCACGGGAGGTAATGACAGTGGAGTCAGCCTGCAGTGCGAATGGACTAGTAGTCACGGGAGGTAATGACAGGGGAGTCAGCCTGCAGTGCGAATGGACTAGTGGTCACGGGAGGTAATGACAGTGGAGTCAGCCTGCAGTGCGAATGGAATAGTGGTCACGGGAGGTAATGACAGGGGAGTCAGCCTGCAGTGCGAATGGAATAGTGGTCACAAGAGGTAATGACAGGGGAGTCAGCCTGCAGTGCGAATGGACTAGTGGTCAGGGGAGGTAATGACAGTGGAGTCAGCCTGCAGTGCGAATGGACTAGTGGTCACGGGAGGTAATGACAGGGGAGTCAGCCTGCAGTGCGAATGGAATAGTGGTCACGGGAGGTAATGACAGGGGAGTCAGCCTGCAGTGCAAATGGACTAGTGGTCACGGGAGGTAATGACAGGGGAGTCAGCCTGCAGTGCGAATGGACTAGTGGTCACGGGAGGTAATGACAGTGGAGTCAGCCTGCAGTGCGAATGGACTAGTGGTCACGGGAGGTAATGACAGGGGAGTCAGCCTGCAGTGTGAATGGACTAGTGGCCACGGGAGGTAATGACAGGGGAGTCAGCCTGCAGTGCGAATGGACTAGCGGCCACGGGAGGTAATGACAGGGGAGTCAGCCTGCAATGCGAATGGACTAGTGGTCACAGGAGGTAATGACAGGGGAGTCAGCCTGTAGTGCGAATGGACTAGTGACCACGGGAGGTAATGACAAAAATAAGAAATAGACATATTTTAAATTAATCTTTTGACACGCTTTTATTTAACTCACTCTGTCTGTTGTTGTCATATCCTCAAATCTTGTAACTCAAAAAAATGTTTGGGGGGTTAAGTGGCAAAGCAACCTCCGCTGGCTTCGCGCCGGTGCGAGAGAAGTTCCACGTACGCAGTGGGCGCTCGCTAACGTAGAGGCGGGTCGACCCCTCTCACCTGCCATGAAGCACCACAAAGACGCCGCGAGCAGCATCAGCGGTCGCTGTCCCGGGGCTCCCATTGCGTTGGTCTGTTCGCCCAGGTGGGGGGTGGGGTGGGGGGAGGATGGGAGAGGGTGGGGTGGGGTGGGGGAAGGTCGGGTAGGGTGGGAGAGGGTGGGGTGGGATTGGGGAGGTTCAGTGATTCTGCACTTGCCCTATTACTATAGTACTATACTGCCTTCAACTTTTATGAACGAAGGTGAGCGATTTGTCGTATTATCTGGTCGTATAGCAAATAAAAAAATGCAATTACTTTACTGTGCAAGTTAAAAATATATGCATTTTAATATTTACGTGTTTTTGAAAATTAATTTAGGGCCCCTTTATAACATATGCTGCAGGCCCCGCACTAGCTTACTCCGGCACCGACACCACCGTGGGTCGTGCTCCTCCAACAGAGGAGGAGGAATCGCAGCAACGCGGCACGAGCTCCCTCCTCCCCCTCTCTCGAAGTGGCCAGCAACGATTTGGCCAGGCAAGGCCCGCTTGAGCTATGCGACTCTCTTGCCGGACAGCGACCTTGGCGATCACGAACGACAGAGACTCAACGGAGGACCCGGAGAAAAATGTCACGCGAGCGCGGGGAGAGAGACGCGCAAACTCCAAATATACAGCAGCAACAGCAGGCGTCAGGGGTCGGGATCGAACACACGAATCTCCTGAATACCAGGCGAGGGAGTTAACATCTCCTAGCCACCGTTATGATGATGAGAGAGAGAGACACGCAAACTCCAAATATACAGCAGCAGCAGCAGGCGTCAGGGTCGGTATCGAACACACGAATCTCCTGCATACCAGGCGAGGGAGTTAACATCTCCTAGCCACCGTGATGATGATGATGAGAGAGAGACACGCAAACTCCAAATATACAGCAGCAGCAGGCGTCAGGGGTCGGGATCGAACACACGAATCTCCTGCATACCAGGCGAGGGAGTTAACATCTCCTAGCCACCGTGATGATGATGATGAGAGAGAGACACGCAAACTCCAAATATACAACAGCAGCAGCAGGCGTCAGGGGTCGGGATCGAACACACGAATCTCCTGCATACTTGGCGAGGGAGTTAACATCTCCTAGCCACCGTGACGCCAACCAATCGTTTTCTTCTTTCCGCCTCGTGCGGCTCATGTGAATTGCAAAGCACCGGCTACGAATCCGCGTCGAGGTGCTTCACAAGGCGGATAATGACGGAGTAGAGTAACACGCGGCGAGTGGGCCTCCATACGAGCGCGAGTCTGTTCTCAAGCGCGTGACCCCTGCCCGTTGATGCTGTCACGTCGAGGTCAGACGCACGCACGGCGGACACATTTGACAGAGAGAGCGAGCGAGAGCGAGAGAGTCGCCGTCATCGTCTCAAGAGAAGGCGCGTGCGTCAAGACGAGTGGAGTGGTGCGAGCACGTGTCTAACACACACACACTCAACCAGAAGGACTGTTTTCTTGGAATTTCTCTTACTCGATACAGCTATCGTGCTGTGACGGTTCCACCTGAAGACGGAAGCTTGTGTTGCCTCGGAAACGTCGTGATTTTAATTTTATTTTTTATTTTACTTTTATTAATTTTAATATTATTTTTTTACCTACGTGACTTTAGCGAAAACCTAAGAATATGGACAGGAAGGACAAGATCGATGGGCCCGATAATGTACGTTGACTCAAGGGCGCAGAAGCATGGCCACCAACATCTACGCCTCTATATAAGGAACGAAACAGGTGGACTTCTCCACAAATCTGGCTGTCGCCTGATGAAGCTCGGTGTAGTTGCCGGCGAAACGTCGTACTCAGATTGTAAATGTTGTGGCTTGGCTCTCCAACACAACCGATGTGCTGTACGAGTGACGGATTGGCACGTTCTGTTTACGTGACAACCGTGAGAATTATTTTATGATGTAATATTTTTATTATTTTATTATTTCCATTCTACGTGACTTTACCGAAAGAACCAAGAAGATGAATCCCTGCAGTCACGAAAGCTTTAAATCGAAAACCCTTTCTAGTTGGCTGTGTCGGGTGGTGGCGGGTTTAACAACATATTTATATATTTCCGCGATCTAACAAACAAAAAACCCTCTATTATGGACGCGTCTAACGATTACACCGCGAGACGGACACACAGCGAGAGAAGGAGGGAGGGAGACGCGGGTTGGAAGAGGCACTCGGATTAGAAGCGTCGGTTTGTTAAGTTTTGTTGTTCTTTCGTTAAAGTCACGTAGGTATAAAATAAAATAAATCACGGCGTTTTGATTGCAACACAAGCTTGTGTGTTGCAATCGAAGCGTCATCATCAACACCACCATCAATCGAAACGTCGTGATTTATTTTATTTTATACCTACGTGACTTTACCGAAAGAACCAAAGAGTATGGATTCCTGCAGTCACGAAAGCTTCAAATCAAGATTTTGTAGCACCAGCTGGCCAGGATTGGGAAAAACGTTGCCTACTTTTGACCCAGGCAATTGGAGAGCACGCACTGAGTGTTACTAACCGAGCGTCAAAACTAACAATAGCATCTTTTAAAAATCACAGTTTAGAGACAAACAACACAGGCGCTGTTTAAAAGAATAATGAAAATCAAATAATACAAATTAAACTCTAAACGATGGTGCTAACATTATCCGGGACACCCTTTAGGGCAGGGGTCGATAAATCAAAATAACAAGTAGAGGCATTTTAAAAAATCTAACTCGGTATATATTTGGAAAAAACCTCAAATTTTTAAGATCCCCATTGCACTGCGTGATAAATGCGAGACGCATCACGAAGCCAGTCGCCTAAAGAGCCGCATGCGGGTTCCTTAGCTGCAGGTTGCCGAGCCCTGCGTTAGGGAAACGCGCGGTGCTGGGTCAGGGCTCCCTAAACCACTGCACCACCGCTCCCTCCACCCCACATCGCCGATGAGTGAAGTTTAATCGACACATTACCTGGCTCCGTGTGTCCGCTTCCCTCTCGTCAGAAGATGTCGATCACGATGATGATTGGTAAGTGATGATTGAGAGATGATGATGATAATGATGATCAAGTGATGATTTATGGATTGGTGACTGATGGTGTTGATGATGATAAACTGATAATGATTAATAGATTGGTGATTGATGGTGGTGTTTATGATGGTGAATTGATGATTGATGAAATGGTGAATGATGGTGTTGATAATGATGAATTGATCATGATTGATGGATTGGTGATTGTTGGATGATGATGTATAGATGATGGTATAATGCCTGATAATGTATGATTTATGTATGATGATTTATGGATGATGTTGACGCTAATTGATAATTACAGGTGATTACCTTGCCTTATTTTATATTTCTAGAGCACCTTAGATCACGGCAATAGCTAACCGTGCGCAAAATATAAATATGGATTTTGGTAATTATTGGTAAGTAATGATGAAAATTGTATTTTATAAAATTCGTTATGATGATGGAGATGATGATTAACTGTGCATTGCAACAAACGATGACAATAATTGTTGGGCTACTGATTGACGGATGATGATGATGATGCTGCTGATTAGTTTTGGACGAATGACACTTTGTCTCTAATTTATGACGGATGACTGAATGAGTTGCAGATGGAGTGAATAACTCGAGACGAAAGACTCCGTTAACGCGCGATAACCCGTGAGAGAACGAGTCAAACGGCAGACTTTGGGGGGTAGGGAACGAGCCACTTGGTGGAGTTGATGCCGCGTGCGAGCGAGCGAGCGGGTGACTGCTCATGCGTTTCTGTGCGCTGGGCACATAATGACCAGTTCGGGACGTCGTGGTGGGGTGGGGGGGGTGGCGGGGTGCACGTGGATTCATCTTTGCGAGTTTCTTCCCGAATCGCGGTCAGGGATCCCAACTTTCACGCGCGGACCGCGGCGGCCTCGACCAATCGCCTCTTCGCACAGACCGCTCGTGCAGACCGCACGCCACGTGTTGCGGAACTCCGGCGGATTATTTATAATAAAAAAAACTCCACCCGCCCGAGTTCGACTCCTGCCCACAGCCCAACACCTGCGATTGTTACTGTTGAATAATCATTCCGCTTGTTTACGCAGGAAAGCCTCACAGGGTCGTGGGGGGGGGGCAGTGCCGGATGGAGCTAGTGCGGGGCCTGTAGCATATGTTAAAAAGGGGCCTTATCCACAAAAATATTCAAACACACACCATTTTTTACTTGCGTAGTAAAGTAATTGCATTTTTTCATTTGCTACATAGCCAGATAATACGACAAATCGCTAACCTTGAACACCCAGCCGTTCATGAAAGTTGACGGCGGTATAGTACTATAGTAATAGAGCGAGTGGAGAATCACTCAACCGGAATTGATAGCTTGAAAGCATTTAGCGCGGGGTCCTTGAAAGTGTGGGGCCCGTAGCATATGTAACTACTTGAAGCTAGTGCTACTTGTGTAGCTACATATGCTACATATGCTACACAAGTAGCTACATATGTAGCTACATATGTAGGTACTTGTGCTACTTGGAAAATCCGGCACTGGGGGGGATGGGGGGGTGTGAATGCTACTGCTGTTTAATCCACAAGTGGATCATTTACGGTGTCATTTTCAAACTCGGCCTCCTCCCTTGCGAATGATGTCACGGGATCTTTAACGTCCGTTGTGAGGTGAAGCAGAAGTCCGAGCGTGTTCACTGCGATTGATATCACCCGGCGGGTATTAACCAGGGCGGTCGCCGGATTTCGAACCTCAGACCTCTGCAGCCGCTGGGCGCAAGTGATCATGCGAATTCTCTATCTCTGCCGCTGTCGATCATGATCAGGGTCTCGGCGTGACGAGTCCACTACGCTCAGGACGCGCGTGTCAACTCGTAATCGCATTCATCCGCGACCTTTTGGCGAGCCATCGAAAAATAGCCGGCGGTCACAGATGCGCTTCTGCGGCCGTCTGGAACGCTCTTCCTTCCGCCTTTGGGAAGACACTAGAGCTATATGCACTTTTACTGGGGGGAACCTCCTGGTTATACCAGCCCACAGGGGATTATTGTGTCCGTCCGTCCGTCGTGCATCCAAAAATGGGAGGGGTGGGGCTGGGTGGAGAGGGGAGGGTGGAGAGTGGCTGGGTGGGGAGGGTGGGGAGAAGCTGGGTGGGGAGGGGAGGGTGGGGAGGGGCTGGTGTTGAGGGTGGGAGGTGGGAAGGGTGGGGCTGGGTGTGGAGGTGCTGGTCACCCCGTGGTGCCCTTATAAAACTCAACGTTTAACCTACTCACGCCGGCTTGTGCCCGTCCTCACAGTCAGCCATATTTGCGGAATACACCACGCCACCGTTGACCCTGGCCATTGACCGAGCAACCCAACGTTCCTACCAGCTCCCTCCGCAGGAATGTGTTAAATTATGTAGGATTGAAAACTGATTTTTTTTTTTAGAACTCCTTTTTTGTGTTTAGTTTGTTGTTATTCCCCCGCACCTCCGCTTAGCGCGGTTGGCTACGTACGTTGCCGAAAGAAGTTCAGCATGTATGTATATATGTGTGTATGTTGAACGTACACACAATGCTTTGCCCACCGCTGTACCACAATGAGTCTGCAGAATGGGTAGCTCTTGGCAACAATGCCACGGAGTAACCCAATGTAGCAGGGCCCTCCTGAAAGAACAATACAAGTCTTGAGACTCAGTGGAGGCTTTCCTGGGTAAATACACGCGCATTGACTGTTGTGTTCGTTTTGGCTATGTCGGGTGGTTGGAGGGTTGTACGACACACATTTTGTCAAAACCTAAAAATCACTCATGAGTCATGCACGTTAATGTTATGAGCACAAGGAACACACGACTGTGATATTTAATATTTTATTTATGAATTGCATTGTACACTCTTGTGTTGATTTGAAGCTTTCGTGACTGCAGAAATCCATAGGTTTATACCTACGTGACTTTACCGAAATAACGAAAGAGTAGATACTGTATACTCTTGTGGTTAAACGCATCGCATATAGCAGACTATGTACAACGTAGAATAATTTACATCGATTTGTGAATCTTCTGCTGGATAAAGGCCTCTCCATGCCGCGTCAGTAACAAGGATGGACTGATTAAACTCCCCACTCAGCTCACCAGAATTAAACTCACCACTCAGCTCACCAGAATTAAACTCACCACTCAGCTCATCACTACTAAACTCACCACTCAGCTCACCAGTACTAAACTCACCACTCAGCTCACCAGAATTAAACTCACCACTCAGCTCACCAGTACTAAACTCACCACTCAGCTCACCAGTACTAAACTCACCACTCAGCTCACCAGAATTAAACTCACCACTCAGCTCACCAGTACTAAACTCACCACTCAGCTCACCAGTACTAAACTCACCACTCAGCTCACCAGTACTAAACTCACCACTCAGCTCACCAGTACTAAACTCACCACTCAGCTCACCAGTACTAAACTCACCACTCAGCTCACCAGTACTAAACTCACCACTCAGCTCACCAGAATTAAACTCACCACTCAGCTCACCAGTACTAAACTCACCACTCAGCTCACCACTACTAAACTCACCACTCAGCTCACCAGTACTAAACTCACCACTCAGCTCACCAGAATTAAACTCACCACTCAGCTCACCAGTACTAAACTCACCACTCAGCTCACCAGTACTAAACTCACCACTCAGCTCACCAGTACTAAACTCACCACTCAGCTCACTAGTACTAAACCCACCACTCAGCTCACCAGGATTAAACTCACCACTCAGCTCACCAGTACTAAACTCACCACTCAGCTCACCACTACTAAACTCACCACTCAGCTCACCAGAATTAAACTCACCACTCAGCTCACCAGTACTAAACTCACCACTCAGCTCACCAGTACTAAACTCACCACTCAGCTCACCAGAATTAAACTCACCACTCAGCTCACCAGTACTAAACTCACCACTCAGCTCACCACTACTAAACTCACCACTCAGCTCACCAGAATTAAACTCACCACTCACCTCACCAGTACTAAACTCACCACTCAGCTCACCAGTACTAAACTCACCACTCAGCTCACCAGTACTAAACTCACCACTCAGCTCACCAGAATTAAACTCACCACTCAGCTCACCACTACTAAACTCACCACTCAGCTCACCAGTACTAAACTCACCACTCAGCTCACCAGTACTAAACTCACCACTCAGCTCACCAGAATTAAACTCACCACTCAGCTCACCACTACTAAACTCACCACTCAGCTCACCAGAATTAAACTCACCACTCAGCTCACCACTACTAAACTCACCACTCAGCTCACCAGAATTAAACTCACCACTCAGCTCACCAGAATTAAACTCACCACTCAGCTCACTAGTACTAAACTCACCACTCAGCTCACCAGAATTAAACTCACCACTCAGCTCACCAGAATTAAACTCACCACTCAGCTCACCACTACTAAACCCACCACTCAGCTCACCACTACTAAACTCACCACTCAGCTCACTAGTACTAAACTCACCACTCAGCTCACCAGAATTAAACTCACCACTCAGCTCACTAGTACTAAACTCACCACTCAGCTCACCAGAATTAAACTCACCACTCAGCTCACCACTACTAAACCCACCACTCAGCTCACCACTACTAAACTCACCACTCAGCTCTCCAGTACCAATACAAAACTCACCACTGAGCTCACCAACAGCACCAATACTAAACACACCACTCAGCTCAGCAGTACTCAACTCATCACAGAGCTCACCAACGCCACCAATCCGAACCTCACCACATAGCTCGCCAACACAAAATGCTCACGCGTAGAGTTTTGGGTCAAAATTGGCACCAATAATGCTTAAGAGATTCATAAACACACAAACACACACAAACACACACAAGCGAAAATTTGCCGAGGCTCTGGCGACGTCCTTGTGTCTGTGGGTTGTTATTGTGAGATAACACGATCCCAGCAAGAGGGCACGAACCTCATCTTCCCTATTGGCGAATTATTCATAATTTTAGTACGATTCCTGCTGGTTTTGTTTTTGTTGTACGGTTATGGTTAATTCACACGTGGTTCTCGAGTGAACGTTTTTAACATTGCGGATGTAGAGTTATAAACGCGATTCACGCATCTGTGCGCAGTTGTGTTGAACTTCCCTTGTACCGTGCGTAGCCAACCGCGCTCAGCGGAGGTGAATTCAATTCGATTCCTACACAGAGATCCGAGCACTCGCAGACACCCATTGATTTAGATCAGCGGTGGGGAACGTTGGTGTGGCCCTGCCAAGGCAATCAACCGCAGGCGGGACTCGAAATTCAATAGATCTAGGAGCAAACCTGGAAAAGCAGTTGCGAGTAGCAGCAACATCATCAATACCAGCCAACATCACACGCCTCGCCAAAGAGAAGCAGTTCCAGCCATCGCATTAGGGGTGAGTTAATTACATGTTTGAGCAAATATAACGGTGCTAATTTAAAGTTGATAATTTTGTATGGCCCGCGAATGATGTTATAAATATCTAAATGGCCCTTGGCAGAGAAAAGCTTCCCCAACTCTGATTTAGATAGACCAGGGGTCAGGCAAACCTGTGGCTCTTTAACGACTGCTTCGTGACGTTATAAACATGCGTTGCGGCTCTTAAAATATTTCGGAGCAATTTTTTTCAGCGAATTCGGAAGAACAAAAATCGCTCTTCTTGTTATTTTGGTTGCCGACCCCTGACACATAGACCCATGGACTCGCATAGAGACCCATAGACTTGTAACAGAGACACGTGGAGTCACATAGAGACCCATAGACTCGCGGACCCACCGGTGCTCACACAGAGACCCATAGACTTGTAACAGAGACACGTGGAGTCACATAGAGACCCATAGACTCGCGGACCCACCGGTGCTCACACAGAGACCCATAGACTTGTAACAGAGACACGTGGAGTCACATAGAGACCCATAGACTCGCGGACCCACCGGTGCTCACACAGAGACCCATAGACTTGTAACAGAGACACGTGGAGTCACATAAAGACCCATCCTTGACAATACACAGCGGAGTGTATGAGACACAGAGGGAAAGAAGGCAGGTGGCGTCTTTGGAAGGTTCATCGCAGGGCACCGATCTTCAATCAGTGCCTTGGAAGGTTCATTACAGTCGTCACCGCAGTCGCGGCAAGAATGTGTATCCTGGACGTGGTATGCCGGGTGCTGAAATGCTTTCCGAGGTCGCTGGTAAAGTGTGGAGTAGGCGACAACGCAGCGAGTAGCCACCAGGGTCAAGGCACCCCCCAGGCTCGTTACGCTGCTGTTAGCATGCGGCGTGTACAGCCGTGGCGAGAGGGGAATGATGGACGCGGTGTGCCGGGCTTCCGCTCACACCAGGGAGAACTTGCCGACCTTGTGGCTCCTGCGGTAGAGGAAGAAGAGGGCCGAGCCGCCCATGGCGGAAAGGCCTGCCAGGGCGGAGCCCACGGCGATGGGCGACGACGTGGATGGTGAAGAGGAGGAAGAGGTGGAGGAGGAGGAGAGTGACGGTTCTGTCTTCGAGGTATTCTTCGGCAGAGCCACGTGACTCGAGTGGAGCACCGGCTTGGGTCCAGCGCTGGGCGATGATGTTGGTGATGGTGGTGGAAGTTGTGATGATGGTGGTGGTTTTGATGATGGTTCCGACCTCAATGAGGATGTGGGTGACAGAAATGAAGGTGATGATGATGGTAATGATGATGATGGGGGCATTGCAGATGATGGTGACGATGATGGTGGTTGTGATGTTGTTGGCGATGGTGTTGTTGGTGATGATGTTGTTGTTGGTGATGGTGTTGTTGGCGATGGTGTTGTTGGCGATGATGTTGTTGTTGTTGGTGATGTTGTTGGTGTTGGTGATGGTGTTGTTGGTGATGATGTTGTTGTTGGTGATGGTGTTGTTGGCGATGATGTTGATGATGTTGTTGGTGATGGTGTTGTTGGCGATGATGTTGATAATGTTGTTGGTGATGGTGTTGTTGGTGATGATGTTGTTGGTGATGATGTTGTTGTTGGTGATGGTGTTGTTGGCGATGACGTTGATAATGTTGTTGGTGATGGTGTTGTTGGTGATGATGCTGTTGTTGGTGATGGTGTTGTTGGCGATGATGTTGATGTTGTTGGTGATGGTGTTGTTGGCGATGATGTTAATGATGCTGTTGGTGATGGTGTTGTTGGTGATGATGATGTTGTTGGTGATGGTGTTGTTGGCGATGACGTTGATAATGTTGTTGGTGATGATGGTGGCGATGTTGTTGGTGATGATGTTGTTGGTGATGGTGTTGTTGGTGATGATGATGTTGTTGTTGGTGATGGTGTTGTTGGTGATGATGTTGATGATGTTGTTGGTGTTGTTGGTGATGATGTTGTTGTTGGTGATGGTGTTGTTGGCGATGACGTTGATAATGTTGTCGGTGATGATGGTGGCGATGTTGTTGGTGATGATGGTGGTGGTGATGACGGCGGTGCTGTATACGAATTGTTTGCGAGCGCCTCTCCCAGGACCAGGCATTTAAATGCCCCCACCGTCTCCATGCAGCGGGACCCCTCTGGGCACGCGCCTGGCACACACGAGTCTGTGGGGGGGGGGGGGCACGGGAGTGGGGGGCACACAGAGAGAGGGGGGAGGGGGCACGCAGGGAGGTTAATTGGCAGGAATGCATTCGACTACTTCCTCAGAATGATCATCTTCGTCATGTTCATCAATACCGCCATCGTCATCACGACAACCACAATCTGTGGACATCGTCGTCACACTCATAAACACGAACCACCATCATTGCAAGCACAGCCACCACCAACACCACCAGCGTCACAATGATCAGTTATAAGCACCACCACCATCATCACCAACACCGCCACCAACCATGACAACAATCGCCACCACGATCATCATCAACGACCACAAAAACAACATTAACGATGACCCCAACGAAATCAACGTCACTGCCCCCCCTCCCCCCAACCCCCATCGATATTTATCGATCAACATCCATCAACGTTTATCCATCAGCATCGACACCCATCCACATTTATCCATCGAAACCACCGCTCCCGTGACCGCCACGGGGCGGTTGACGCGGCACCTGGCGGTAACTCGCTCGTCACCGGCCGTTGCCGAGGCTGGCGGTTGGTACGTGGCAGGCCGCCCTGGTTAATACCGGGGTGTTTTGCGGTGTATTGTATCATCGTCGTTATCGTCGTCACCACTATCATCATCATCATCGTCATCGATATCATCGTCACCACTATCATCATCATCCTTCATCGTCGTTATCATCGTCACAACTATCATCGTCATCATCATCGTCGTCATTATCATCGTCACCACTATCATCATCATCATGGTCGTCGTTATCACCGTCACCACTGTCATCGTCATCATCCTCATCATCGTTATCACCGTCACCACTATCGTCATCATCGCCGCCGCGCGTGTCCCTCACCTTGAGCGCAAACGCCAAACTTCGCCATGTTGCAGATGGCGTCGTTGAGGGGGGCCCTCGGTCCGCGGGGGGCACTCTTGCCCAGCGCCACGTCGGCGCACGCCTGCTGCCCGCCCATATTGTTGGGCTCCCCGGGGCCCCACTGGGCCACCCCCTGGCCGAGGGGCGCCCCGCCGGACGATATCCACTGCCAGCCGGACGGGACCTTGCGGAGGCCCAGCCAGTAGTTGAATTTGCGCGGCGGGTAGAGGGCGTTGAGGTGGTCCAGCTCGTCAACGCTGCGCAGCACCAGCAGCTCTGCGGGAAGGAAAGTGGGGGGGGGGGACAGCGGCCACGGGGATTACCGTCTTGATGGTCGCGGTGGATGGAGGGTTTGTTGAGATAAGGACGTGGTGGTTGGTCATGATTGTTGCGTAGGGGAGCGGCGGGGCAGCGGTTAGCGCTCGCGCTGCGGACCCCCCCAGCTCGATTGCCGCTCGCGGCCAACACCGGTGACGATTATCTGAACCGGTCCTGAGCCTCCCCTAGGTTGACTCGGCCTAGAATGAGTACCCGGTGCGATGTGTAAACATCGCCACTTGGGAGACAAAGGCTGCCGGGCGTGGTGCTGGCCAACCACCCCACTCGTGTACCGTGCCGGCCTTCATAGGTGCTCGCTAACAGCACTTGCCCCAACAGTCTGCTAAGGCTACACGGGGGATCTTTGGTCATGATTGTGGCGGTGACGGTGGTGACAGTGATGATGGTGGTGGTGGCCGTAGTTGTTGGTGGTCATGATGGTGGTGGTGGTGGTAGTGAAGATGATGGAGGTGATGCTGATGGTGGCAGTGGTGGTGGTGGTGCTTGTGGTAGCTGTGGTGTGCATAGTATTGTGATGGTGATGATGATGTTGAGAAGGTTGGTGATGGTGGTAATGATGAAGACGCTGCACCGCGTGGCACTCATTCGACTCCACTCGACATTTTTACATGTCGACCATACTCGGCCCTGCCATATTAATGTGCAATGTTCACTCACTAAACCCACATCTCATGAATCCATGTGTTTCTTAATTTGTATATATATCTTGTTTTAAATGCATCGATTGGTATGACCTCCGGTGACCTTTGGCCAGGACCTTAACAGTGACCTACCCGTGTGGTACGTCTTGCAGTAGGTCATCGCCGCCGACCACGGCAATCCCTTTGGGGTTTGGTGGAAGGAGCGCGCGGTCACGTGATGCCACGATCCCAGCACGTGCACAACTGTGACAAAGACAAAGGTCCCCCGTATAGACTTTAAGCGACCGTTGGAGCAAGTGCTGTAAGCGAGTGGCACCTATGAAGGCCGGCACGGCACACGAGCGGGTGGGCGGTCAGCGCCACGCCCGGCCGCCTTCACTGTGACAAGCGCACACATACACAGAGCACGTGGCCAGCAGCATCGTCGTCATCAGTATCAGCAGCAAAATTATCAACAGCATCAACTATCGTCGTTTCCACAACTGCCAGCACCATCATCGACAGCACCGCTGTCATCGTCATCATTACCGATGGCATCACAATGGTCATCTTTAGCGGTAATGTAATCGTTATCATCATCATCACAGTATCATTAGCAGTATAATTATCATCATCATCACAGCCAGCACCCTGCACCCAGCACCATGGACTCAGCACTCAGCAGAACTCAACAATCAGCACCCTGCACTGCCCACTCAGCACCCAGCACTAGCGCTTACCCGTCATCGCCAACAGAGTCGTAGCAGGAATTGCCATAGCGCCGTTGTCAGACGCACACGAAGCTGATAACACAGAGTACACACGGAGTACACTCACAGTACACAGGGTACACTCGCAGTACACACACTGATGACACTTACAGAGTACAAGCACAACCTCGGGATATCGTTAGATACTGCGCGCTTCTAACAGGCACACCAACGAATATTTATACACCTTATCATCCCCCCCCCACTTCTCCGCCTCTCCCTCCTCCTCCCTCTCCTTATCCACTTCCTTGAGATTCCACGAACACTCTTGGCCAATGGCAGGAGCCTCGCTCTCCTGGCCCAGGCTCAATCCATGCTGGGAATTTACACGTGGAGTTTCCCAGAAGTCCTGGACCGAATTCCCCACGTGGTGGTTGGTCGTGGTGCTGCTGCGTTGCCAGTACCGCAAAAGTATTAATGAATACAATAATAAGTATATAATAGGCGACGTTTCGGGTAATTAACCCTTGTTCACAGGGCAGTTAACTGCCCTATGAAGAAGGGCCATGGTTTCGAAACGTCGCCTGTTACATAATTGTCACGTGATGGTACCTAAGCACGTGGGTGGAATGGACTGCTCGGTGGAGGTCGGGGAGCGGTGGTGCAGTGGTCAGCGCACGATGCAGTGCACAGGCGCGCGGGCACGCATTGGAAGTTCACCTCTCCGCTACGAAGAAGGTCCATTGCCCGAATCGTTGTCTGTTAGATATATTAGATATATATTAGGTATATCCAAGTCTGCTTTGAAAAACGAGACTCTTTAAAGTGGACTTCCCTCTCTTTAGTTTTCTCGGTTGTCCCCTGATTCTGTTTTTGTTTCCAGATTTTCATGCCTCACGCATTGAGATCCGAGGATGGAATCCGCATTCTACACATTCGTCGTATTATTATTATATGCGGATTTATTTCTTGAAAGGCCACAGTGCTATTGACGATTGTGTTGAGTTAGTTAACACGGGTACCGCATTGAGTAGTTCTGATCAACCCTGTTCAACTAGAGTTTGGTTTTTTTCGTCCAACCTCCGCAAGTGCAAGGAAGCTGCCGCAGTGGCGATGTAACGGGAAGCAGCAGCAGCTACAGCAGCAGCAACAGCAGCAGCAGCTACAGCAGCAGCAACAACAGCAGCAGCTACAGCAGCAGCTACAGCAGCAGCAGCAGCAGCAGCTACAGCAGCAGCAGCAACAACAGCAGCAGCTACAGCAGCAGCAACAACAGCAGCAGCAGCTACAGCAGCAGCTACAGCAGCAGCAGCTAGAGCAGCAGCAGCTACAGCAGCAGCTACAACAGCAGCAGCAGCTACAGCAGCAGCTACAGCAGCAGCAACAACAGCAGCTACAGCAGCAGCTACAGCAGCAGCAGCTACAGCAGCAGCTACAGCAGCTACAGCAGCAGCAGCTACAGCAGCAGCTACAGCAGCAGCAGCAGCTACAGCAGCAGCAGCAACAACAGCAGCAGCTACAGCAGCAGCTACAGCAGCAGCAGCAGCTAGAGCAGCAGCAGCTACAGCAGCAGCTACAGCAGCAGCAGCTAGAGCAGCAGCAGCTACAGCAGCAGCAGCTAGAGCAGCAGCAGCTACAGCAGAAGATACAGCAGCAGCAGCAGCGACAACAGCAGCAGCTACAGCAGCAGCAGCGACAACAGCAGCAGCTACAGCAGCAGCAGCAGCTACAGCAGCAGCTACAGCAGCTACAACAGCAGCGACAGCAGCAGCAACAGCAGCTACAACAGCAGCTAAAGCAGCAGTGGCAGCACCTTCCACCCACACAGGTCGACGGTTCGACTCCCATCCCCATCTCCTGGCGCGGCAGTTAAAATCAATGGGGGGGGGAGTTTATACAAAAACAAAACCCCGATGGGAAGGTCGCTTGCGATGGGTGGGGTAAAGCGTGGGTCAGCCCACCAACTTCCAACTCGTCATCGCGGGAGAGTCGGCCAGACTGGAGATAAAAAGCGTGCGATATTTTGATAGTAGTCCATTTGTAACTGCTCACTACGAGCTTTAAATGCCCTGATGGTACATTGCCCTTGTGCTGTTCGCCTGTTGGCGTTGTTCTCTGGTCTGACACTGCTGGTGAGAGACGAGGCTGCTAAATTTTGATTTAAAGCTTTCGTGACTGCAGGGATTCATATTCTTGGATCTTTCGGTAAAGTCACGTTGAAGGGAAATAATAAAATAATAATAAAATTCAAGTAGTATATATTTAAATCCTTTATATTAAGTTCGCTTGCTTGCTTGCTTGCGTGCTTGCGTGCTTGCTTGCTTGCTTACGACCGTGCAAATCTTTCGGTCGTTTTTTAACCCACTTCCCGTGATCCAATCGAGCTGACATTTTCCACACAGACTTGTTGTGCGTGACAATTAATTTTAGTGAAATTTTTTTTCCAAAATTTTACACTGTTTAGGGAATTTTTTAAAAATATTTAATTACCAATTGCTTAATGCTGGCAGACAATCATCTGACCCATAGGTGGCAGCCATCTCAAGCCAGAGGACGAGAGGACTCTAGCCGCCACGCATATAAAGGATTTAGAGAGAAAAACTTTGTTTTTACGGGTTAATTTTTTTCTTTTCTTTTTTATTTCCCTTCTACGTGACTTTACCGAAAGAACCAAGAATAAGGCTGCTGCTGTCTGTGGTGTAGCCCAATCAGTTTCAAAGACAATGCATCATCATATTATTATCAGAGCGCGTTTTGTTTGCGTGTTCACCACAAGTACCGTTTGTGGTTAATGCAGTGTGACTTGATTCCTTGCAAAAAGGTACCTGATTTGGTGTTCGAACATATTTACACAACTCGTTATTTTATTGCCAGAAATGGTGAAACCTTTTCTTATTTTTCCATAATCCATATTTTTTCACGATTTTTTCTTTAAAAAAAGTACATTTTTATATCGCGATTATGATTTGCTATTTTTTTTATTTCGCTCATCTGCTACTCTTTTGTTATTAATAAATTTCGCCGTGACTTGTTGCGTATGTCGGGGAAGCGGCGGTGGTGTTCTTTGTTCATGAAACCCGATGTGAGAGCTTCGTTGGCTCACAGAGAAATTCAAAATCAACTGAACTGAAATGTCCCCTCGAGAATTCGCCGCAGTGGAGGGCCCCCCCGTCCTGCTCGCCTGGGGCGGGAGCGAGGGGAATTGCAGGGGCCGCGCCTTTACCTCGCAGTTAGCGCAGCGTCTGCTGCCGACGGCGTCGAGTTGAGATATTGCCATCGTCGATGGATTGCGAAAGAGATTTTCATCCAGCTCGTGGTTCGATCATCGCTGAAGATGATGCAATCACGGCGCACGCATTCAAGTCAATAACACTGGTCAACACACTTTTTCTGGCATAAGGTATTCCAACGGTTTTAATGTAATTTTGGGATGCTGATTCCAAATCTGGCATCAGTTTTTGTCTATCACATCAGGTTTTTGAGATATCAAATATTGCATTTTCAATAAAAACTGCAGAAGAAAAATATTAAATAAATGTGGATATCTAAAAAAAATGATATTATAAACACACTATGCTAAACATACAGCACCATATTTTAACACTAAAGCAGTCACTGACTCGCAACAACTTGCAATCATAAGTGACAGAGTTAATTTCTGGTAAAATCAATGAAAATGGGGTATGCCGATAGCATAAAATGAGATGTGATGGAGCAAATCAGAGATCAGATTTGGAATCAGCACCCGGAAATTAGTCTAAAACAACTGCAAAAGTCCAGGCCAGAAAAAAATGTTTTTTTTTGTTGACCAGTGTGGTGATCGACTGTTTGCAATGAACTCTGAAAATGCAACGTAATTTGGCTGCTATTAATTTCCACGTGAGCCACTTCGTTGACCTATCAATTGTGATAGCCACGTCGTTTCTGCAACAACAAAAACGTTGTATAGCTCAGTAGTGGGGCTTACCTGGTAAAATATAAAATATTTGTTTTGTTTAGTTTAATGATCCTTGCATCGTTATAGCATCACTCGGCCATTATTAGCACGGGTGGCCATGTACGGTGCGAAAGAAGTTCAACGTAAACACATGATGAACCCGGCTGGCCTGAGTTCGATTCCCCAGTCACGGCTAACGTCAGTGGCGAGTGATCTCAGAACGGGCCGCGAGTCCGTGCCCTGCCTCCCATCCTCCCCCGCTCTTCACAAACTCGCAAACGCCCAGAGCGGGGAAGTATGATCCGACAAATGACGATGACATTAAATGCCATCGTGTTGGGGGGAGAGGCCATCATCCAGCAGTGGATTGGCAAGGGCCGAGTTTTTAATTCGTAACTCAACGTGTCGATTATTGTGCCCAATGTTGTGCACATCATATAAAGCTTCACGGATCATGCAGCCGAGCGAATTGCTGATGAGACGTTGAATGTCGAAACCGGTCCATGCTGTAAAGAAAAATAATTATCGATTTGTTTATCGGAATCACGGTCCACGATCGAGGCATTGTATCGAACCACCGCGTAGACGTAAGGTTGTACCGTCAGTATCATCACCACCGTCAGCCGTGGGTGGGTTGGGTGGCGACACGTCCAGTAAAAATTCATGGACTGCAAAATAATTTAAAGGTACCAAGGAACGATTGCGTCATTTCAACGAAATGACAAAATAATCATGAGGACCACACGAAGGGGGTTTTCTGGACAATATCTCTACCACCCACACGGGGGGGGGGGCACGGGGCGGGAGGGGGGGTACGGGAGGGGCACGGGGGGGGGCACGGGAGGGGCACGGGGCAATGGGGGGGGGCACGGGGCGACGGGGGGGGGGCACGGGGGGGGCACGGGGCGGGAGAGGGGGTACGGGAGGGGCACGGGGGGGGGGGGCACGGGAGGGGCACGGGGCAATGGGGGGGGGGGGCACGGGAGGGGAACGGGGCACCAGGGTGGGGGGCACGGTACCCCCACCTCTGTAGGGGATAGGGGTGCCGCGTAGGGGATCGCGGGGCAGGGGGGGTTAGGGGTGCCGCGTAGGGGACAGGGGGTCAGGGCTGGGGACTGGCTCAGGAAGTGAGCCGCTGTTTTGAAAGCCACTTCCACTCGGGGGTCCCCGCCCTGCTTCTCGAAATCCACTCCGCACACCCCTCCCCTTCCTGATGTGTGTGGTGTGTGTGTGGTGTGTGTGTGGTGTGTGGTGTGTGT